AACTTGCCATCATTTTTATTACTGATGTTAATGTTGTCTATCTGTAGCTGAATTGCATTTGATGATTTGCTTCCAAATAAGATGTAGTAAGTCTTTTCGATGTTTAATGTTAGTTTGTTCGTTGACATCCATAAGTGGACTTTTTTTAATTCATTATTCACAACATTATTTAGTGTATGTGGGTTGAGGTTTGAGTAGATAAGGGTAGTATCGTCAGCAAACAATATAGGTTTGAGAATATTAGAGACATTAGGCAGATCGTTTATATATATAAGAAATAGAAGAGGTCCTAAGATGCTGCCCTGTGGCACTCCAACGGTAATTGGTAGAGTGGAAGAAGTTGTATCATTGATGGTTACATATTGGTGTCTGTCACTAAGATAGGATCGGATGTAGTCAAGGGCAAGGCCTCGGATTCCATAATGCTGGAGTTTAAATAAGAGGTAGTTGTGATTAACAGTATCAAAGGCTTTTCTTAGGTCAATGAAGAGTCCAATCGGAAACTCATTTTTGTCAAGGGCTGAGTAGATAATGTCAAGGAGACTAATGATTGCATCATTGGTACTCTTTTGGGACCGGAAGCCAAACTGGCAGGGGCTGAGTATGTCGAATTTTACGAGGTAGGAATAGAGCTGTTTGTAAATAATTTTTCAAATATTTTTGATAGAATGGGTAGATTTGATATTGGTCTATAATTGTTTATGTCCGCCGGATTGCCTCCTTTATGGACTGGCGTTACTCTTGCTTTTTTGAGGATATCAGGGAAGGTGTGACACTCTATAGATTTGTTGAACAGTAGTGCTATGGGTGGGGCAAGGGCATGGGAGGCTCTCTTGTACACAATGGACGGAATTTCACTGGTGTTCCCTGCCTTGGTTTTAGAGAGTGTATGATGGACACAACATCTGCCGGGCTGATTGGTGAAAGGAGAAGAGAGTTTGGATAGCTGCCTGAGAGATATGTGTTAATATGTGTCTGAGTCTGTGGGATTTTACTGGCAAGATTAGCACCAACCGATGAAAAGAAACTATTAAATTCATTTGCCATTTCTAAATCAGTTGACGGTATACCCCCATCCTTGTAGAGTTTTATTTGATTATGTGAGTGTTGTTTAGTTCCTAGGATACTAGAGATAGTTTTCCAAGTGTTTTTCATGTTGCCTTTTGCTTCATTGAATCTATTCACATAATATGCAAGTTTTGCCTTTCTTATGATACTGGTAAGCATTGATGAGTACCTTTTAGCTACTTCCTTTGAAACTAGGCCAATCCTAACTTTCTTTTCATATTCATGTTTCTTGTTGATTGAGTTGAGAATGCCATTTGTGAGCCATGGATTGTTTAATCTTTTGTCAGTTACTTGCTTTGTAAGAAGGGGACAATGAAGGTTGTAGAGGCTTAGAGTTTTGGAGAGGAAGAGGTTAGCTAATGAATTTATATCATGGGTATTATTGAATTCAGAATCCCAGTTAATATTGTGAAGTGCCTCTGTAAGATTGTCTAAAGCTGATTCACTGTGTAGCCTAAATGAAAATTTCTTGCTTTTTGGTGGTGTTATGTCCATGTTCGCTATGAGAAAGGTAGGATAGTGGTCAGTTGTTCTGTCGTAGATTATACCAGATACAAGGGGAGCTGTTATGTTTGTCCATATGTGGTCCAAGGTAGTGGCTGATGTTTGAGTGACTCGGGTAGGTTTGGTGATAGTGGGGATTAGCATACAGGAGTTCATGCTGTTAAGGAAATAGTCAACTTGAGAGCAGTTTTGTTGACCCAGGTCAATATTAAAGTCTCCTCCCAGAATGATGTGGTTTTTGTTGAGATTGTTGTTTATAATAAGATTCCTTAGGTTGTCTGAGAAAGAAGCTATGTTAGTATTGGGAAATCTATAGATGGCTCCAATAGTCAAAGAGGATTTAAGGGATTTAATTGTAAACTGAGCAAAAGTATATTCACAGTAGTCATCTCTGTCACTAATAACACTGTTGCAGATAAATGTATCTCGGTAATATATAGCTGTGCCACCACCTTTTTTATTAGGCCTACAGTTATGAATGGCTTTATAACCAGCTAAGTTGTAGAGTTGGGTATAGTCTTTATTTAGCCAAGTTTCTGTTAAAATAATGAACGATAGGTTAGTACCTAGTGCTGTGAGTAGTGCATTTAAATCGTCAAAATGTTTACCAAGTGATCTAACATTTTGGTTATAAACTGATAGATAGGTGCTATTTTGGAGTTTGTTTTTAGCCTGGTGTGCTGTGGGCATATTGACTAGGTGCTAATCCTTAACTGTAGACATCAGTTCACCCAGCAGTGAATAATTAAGATTAAGGAATTGGCCGAAACTCTATTCGTGCTAGTGGCTTTACAAGAATGTAAGAACTCTTGAATAAATAAATAAATAAATATATATAATCATCTTTTTAGAAGAGACACCCATAAAATGTTTCACAAAGTAACGTTTTCTTTCAATAACAATTCTATATAATTTTTTTTAACGTGTAACTTAAACATTTATTACTTCATATATTTATTTTATTTATTTTATTTATTTTATTTATTTATTTATATACAAGAAGGTACATTGGTGGTTAAGAGGGAATATAGAAATGAAGTTGATTTTACATTCTTGTAAAGCCACTAGCACGCATAGCGTTTTGGGCAAGTCCTTAAACTAACACATAATGTTAAGTAGATAATTCGCTGTAAGATTGACAAAAAATGTTTACAGGTACATTGTAAGAAATTTTGACAATAAACAAAGATTAGATTAATACACAATAATAACAATACACTATAATGAACAAGGATTACTAGGTACATTAGGATATATAGTACATTAGGATATTTACGTCTGCGTTGTTATTATACTAAACTTTCACTTGGACTGGACAGAAATGGTTGGGACCGTTTCCTTTCACCTAATGCCTCTGTTCACTCCTCAGTAAATAGGAAACTGGGAGTTAGGTAACTGTTCCGATGTGGCATTTTGGGGAAAATTAGCAGTGCGACCAAAGGAAGGTGGGGGGGGGGGGACCATGGGGTGATCTTTGACAAGCCTCCGGCTTCCTGTCCCCGTTAAGGACACGAGAGAGAGTTGGTGGCCCGCTAATAAATTCAGCTAAATATGTACACAGGCTTCCTGTTCCGGACAACTGGAATTAATTCATTAAATTATGTACCCTCATCAATTCTGTATTTTACTCAGACCAAATGGTTTGAGGTATTTTGAGCTTTGTAATTACTTCATATACTCAGGCATACTGGTTATTCCTTTCTATCTTCCCTCCCCAGCTTTTATTTGGGCTATTAACTACTGCTCTCCTGAGCCATCATATTTCCTTTGTACCCCTTATTTTCCAGTCGCACATTCATTCCCCCACTGGCCTTATCTTTGTGAATAAATGGTACTCACTTCACCACCTCCATCTTCCCTGTCCCCTCCTTCCTTTCTCGACCCCATCATTCTTCTCAACCCTCTCCTGTGTCTCATCATTGATTCATGATGAATCGTGAACTAGAACCCTTTCCTGTTTTGATCTTTCTCTCTGCTCATCATCCGTTTATCTAGATTTCACATCGCAGGTTCTTGACCTCCCATCCTTGTCACCTTCTCTTTTTCACCCTTCCATAGGTTAAAAACCTTCCAGTTTGCCAAGGCTGACTGGAATCTGCACCCTCCACACTACTCTTCGACCCCTGATCTTCCTCTCCTTCAAGTCCCCCTCCCTTAATTTTTCACGACAACGTATTTGACGCTGCCCTCCGGTCTGTTCCTCGCACTACCTTGTGGCACACGAAAAATGCGTCTCTTGGTGGAATTTGGACTGCTTGTGCAGTATGCTGTAAGTGTGCAGCCTAAAAAAAAAATCAATCACCAGCAGATGTTCAATTCTTTTATTTTGTTTACTAAGGCCAGTGCAGTGACCCATAGGGCCATCTGTACAGCTGAACATGAGAGTTGGAAATCTTATGTCTCCACTCCACTCCCCCAGGATCTAGAAGAAAATTTACAAGATAGCGGGTAAGTTCGTTCCAGATGTCTCGCCAGTCATTCACCTCCGTGGTTCTGTTGTGGCGGATCTGTTGTCAGTAGCATCTGAACTAGGTGTGCACTTTTTTAATGTTAGCTCAAATTCTCATCTTCCTGCTTTCCTTACTCTTAAGCCTCATCTTGAATCTTGTCCTAGTACCTTTTCCTTTAACATTTCTTTGCATTCACTCCATTGCACTACTCGCATATGGATCTAAGTCTGCTGAACGCGTTTGCTTGTCTGAACTTGTCATTTCTGATTGGACCAATGTACCACCTACCCCCCTAGAGACTGGCATATTCACAGCAGAACTTCACAGTTTGTATGCTCTTAAACTGCTTTTCCATCAACTTTCCTGTCATCGTGGTTGAATGTCATCTGGTCACTCATGCCTCTGAAGTCATTTAAACCTATGTAGCCTGTAGTGGTTGAATTCCAATATTTAACGTTTGTCACTATCAGAGATAGGCATTTTACTGGGTTCTCAGCCATATTGGTGTTACCTTAAATGAGGATGATGACTGCCAGAGGCCGCTATCTGCATTTGTCTCATTTCCCAAAAAGGCCCTCCTTATTTAAATTTGTCCAGTCATTCATTCCTAAGAGACCATCATTGATGTGGTGTTATAGGTAGCAAAACTGCACTCAAAGGTAACCCTATCTTCTTGGCCTTCCTCCTACCACAATAATGGATGGAGAGAAATGCCTCTGGCTCGGCATACTCATTGATGTTTTGCGCCTTCTGAACATCCAGCCAGACTGGTGGTGCTGCGAGGTCTCCCCAGTTTGGTGCCTTCTTGTGGAAATTACTTTGGAGACACGTGCTCTCAAAAAGGTTTGGTACCCATGGTATATGTGTAGTTGTAAACTACAGGAGGAAAAGGTGTAGAAAGGATAATATTGTCTTTATTTCCAAAAGTATGGGGGATGTTTGGAATAAATTATAGGACGAGGTATTAAAAACTACAGAAATTTTTAAAATAATTTATCATAAAAAAAGGACATCATGCATATAATTCTCTTCCTATAGCTACAAATAGGTAGTTAGTATATACAGATACTGTATATACTGTACTGTGATTTATTTCAGAGACTGGTGACAATAGTTCTGAAGTAAGCTAGATGAAATCAAGTCACTCCCGAAGCCGAGTGCTGGTGTAGTTATAACTAAGATGCACCAAGCCTCTCGAGACTCCACTCTCGCCTAAAACCAAGACCAGAATCTGGCACACCAAGGCAAGAAATCAACCCAAAAATGAGAAATCAGAAAGAATTACAATAAAATGAGCAATGGTTTTAAGAAAATTTGGTACCCAGGGGTGACAAGGCAAACCACGATGCAGCCAAGAATCCATATCTGTGATACCAACCAGCCGGCTCCACCTCTCACAATCTGACTAACAAAGGGAACAGAACTGAGTAAGCTGGCTGGAGTCCTGGGTGGGTTGTCATTTGGTGGCAGTTGGAAACATCAGTTAGGGTGTTTACCCCACAATGATTATTGGTTTTGCTACCCTTGGGTAGCAAATTTTCTTTAAGCAATGGCTCCTATTGTTGTACTTATGAAGCCTAGTGGGCGTTTCTTGGGTTTGGATCAATCTCCGATTCCCCCAAGCTCTCATCTTGGAGAAAACTAAATTTTGGTCCTGACTGCCAGTAGGCAAGGATGGGTCTTGGAGGATGAAGCATCTAAGATGCATCTGAAGCATCTGACTGCACCAGCACTCAGCTTGGGTAACTAGTGAGGCAGCCCTCCCTGAAATTGGGTCGATTGATAAATACTGTTCATTTACATGCTCAATGCACAGCCAATTGTCATTGCTAGGGACAAAAAATTATGGCTTTTGTTTAAAATACAAATTTTAAAGTTCAATGTACAAGTATTCACCTAGTTGTACTTGCAGGGGTTGAGCTCTGCTCTTTCTGGCCCACCTCTCAACTGTCAATCCATCATTCCCCCCCCCCCCCCCCGTACCCCAGGAAGCAGCTCATAACAGCCGTCTAACTACCAGGTACCTATTTACTGAAAAACTGCCCATTTGTTTCTGCCATTGCCAGGGATTGAACACGGACCCCCTAGGATTATGAGTACAGAGCACTGTCCACTCAGCCACAGGCCCCCTGTGTGTAATTAATAAGGTTATTAAAAGTATTTCTCAATTCATAGTTAATAGAAAATGGGCAACATTAAAAATATTTAAGTTTTGCATTATATAAAAGATAATATTTGCTCTGCTTTAATTATAACTTTAATGTAAGTAACTACTTTTATGAGCTGTTTAAATCGATATTTATCTAGCTGACCAACTATGTTTTCTGCTATAATCAATTCTAGGACTGTGACTGCCCTTCAAATTCGATGCCAAATTCGTACGTTAATTATAGCGATTTTTATTATATCCTTTATACTTATCTCTATGTCTATCCATCTCTTCCCCTTCTCTTGAAGGATACTTTACATGCCCTCTGGACTTTTGATCATTCAATGGAAATTTGTTATTATACACCTTATCTGCCTCCAATTTATATCTTCTTTCTTCATCTCCATCCAGCTTATAGCGTTTAGAGTCTCCAACTCTCTCTCTGTCTACGTTTGACTTGCTCTTTTCTCCAATAAATCGTTCCTTTTCACCTGCAAATTTTTCTCTATCACTACCTAATTTATCTTTCTCCCATCCTTTGACCTGTTTATTCCTATCTACATTGGACGAATCTTTCTCTCGCACTGTCCTGTTTCTTTCACTGCTCCTGCTTCTCTCTAATTCTCTATCTTCCACAAGTTTTTCCCTTTCTCTGGGTCTCTCCCTCTCTCCTCGTCTTTCATCATCTTTTCGAGATCCTCTATTTCTTTCTCTTTCTCGGTCCTTGTCTTTATTATAGTCTCTTTCATTATAAGGCGATTCAGATTTGTTTACACCTTGAATCTTGACACTTTTTTCAATTACTCTGCGTTGGTGATCCAGCTGTGGGAACAATTCTGTGGGGAGAAAAAAGAATCATCAGTAACAATAACTTAATTTTGGCAAACCATACAAACATTCATTTATATTAATTATTCATTACCTTTTGAGTTCATGAGTGCCTCACGGGCAGCATTCATCTCTGCTTGCTGTATGGAATGCCCAGACGCTTTGGCTAGACGGCGACCACGAAAGTAAACTGCAACGGTGTATACTCTAGTATTTGTAGGGCCCTTGCACTCAATTACCCTGTGAAAGGAAAAAAAAACTTTTTACTATTTTAATACAATAAAGAAAAATACTGTTTTCAGAAATTTACCCAAGAGTGAAAAAAAAATATACACCAGTGTTGAATGCAATGAAACGCCAATTTCTGGATGAGGCCCGGTGGCTTCCTGAAGTTAAAATGATAATGTGCCATACTATCAGGTTCCATCAGTCACAGAATTCTATAGCTTACTGGGGGGACCAAGAACCAGGGGGCAAGATTCATGAAAGCACTTACGCAAGCACTTACGAACGTGTACATCTTTCCTCAATCTTTGACGGCTTTGGTTACATTTATTAAACACTTTACAAGCATGAAAATTTCCCATTCAACTGTTATTGTTATAAACAGCCTCCTGGTACTTCGGAGCTCATTAACTGTTTAATAATCGGAAACAAAGCCGCCAAAGATTGAGAAAAGATGTACAGGTTCGTAAGTGCTTGCGCAAGTGCTTTCGTGAATCTGGCTCCAGAAAGTGGCCCTCTCACAGAGACCCAGGGAGTGATGGCATTTATATATCGAGTTATTCGTTTATGCCACCACCAAGAAAGGCACCCAAAAACGGCTACAAATCTTCCCCAGCTATGTAAATAAACGATCAAAATTTCATTAACCCTTAAAGTGCGCATCACGTCATATGACGTGTTGGAAGTTGTTCCAGTCAACTGCGCATCACGTCATATGACGTGTTGGAAGTTGTTCCAGTCAACTGCGCATCACGTCATATGACGTGTTGGAGTACTACGCAAAATTTAAACGGCCCCGCGGATACACGGGGTTCACCACACCTTCATCAGGGCTCTTGTAAACAGACGCCATTTTTAAAAAGAATCATGGGCCAAACTCCCGGGTGTTAGGCCCTCAGTATTGAGTGAGCTACCAAGCCTGACGCATGTAGCATGAGCTAACAGCACTGTTGTTCAGCTTGTGACCACAGCATCGTCTAAAAACCAGCGTTGAATGTAATGGAACGCCATTTTCTGGGTGAGTCCCGGAGGCTCCCCGGAGCTATCCCAGGCTGATATGCTAATGTCAGACTTTGGCATCAGTCATGTGTATAGAGTTCTTAGGCCTACTGGGGACCACGGCCAGAATCGGGCCCCCTCAGAAAGGCAAGGGGAGCAATGGCCTATAGAAGCCCCCGTGTGGTTGGAAGCATTCTATGTCTGCCATCGACCGGAACAGGCACCCAGAAAGGTAAGCGCCTCAAAACAAACCCCTATTCTGGTTAAAATTGCTACCAAAAGCCGAACTAGTGGATAGAACTCCCCAACTGAAAACAAGCAAACTAGTGCGACGTCACACACCGCCGCGCCGCTGTCTGCGCAGCTCCCCCCTCCCCGGGAGGAGGAAGGGTGAGCCCCAGACCCTCCACGCTGGCTACCCACACCTCAGTACTTGAGGCTGGATGTCAAAAACGCGAAAAACCGCCGACCAGAGGGAGGGAGGGATGCCGGGGAGCCTCCGGGACTCGCCCAGAAAATGGCGTTTCATTACATTCAATGCTAGTTTTCTGGGGGGAGCCCTGTCGGCTCCCCGGAGCTAACTACCCACAGACGGAAAGAGAGGGACTTACCCGGGAGGCGGTCGTCGCTCACTCCTCAACTCGAAGCCGAGACAACTGGCTGCAACCGTCGACCCAAAGTAACACAGGCCCGACGGGGCCCAGGGACATTCACAAGGTAACGAGCAGCCAGAACCCTGTTTGACCGCCAAAATCCCCGCGCCCGAATATCAGACCAAGACATATTCCCAAAGACGGCAGCAAGAGCCACGAACTTACGAACGTCATGGGCACGGGGATAGACTATAGGCTGGCTGGACTTAATAACCCTGCGGACGACCTGGGAGACCCGAACCCGCAAACAGGGAAGAAGTTAAACCGGATCAACCCACATCGCGTCCCCGGACACAGAAGCCGTGGCGCGCAAATAACGGCAAAGCGCCGCAACTGGACACAAAACATGATGCACCCCCGGCCTGACCAACCAAGCATCAACCACCCATAGACCCCTCCGGAACGCAGCAGTCTCATTCTTCGCCAGAAAAGAAGGAGACGGCTGCAAACGAACAAAACAATCGCCACGACCAAAAGAGCAGAAACCCCTGCGCCGGAGGAGAGCATGAAGCTCCCCTACCCGACCCGCAGAGGCCAAAGCCAACAAGAAAAGTGCTTTGGAAAAACAATCCTGGACCGAAGGGGCCACAACGAAACGAGGAGATGAAAGGAAAGCGAGCTCTCTGTCCAAAGACCAGGACGGCTCAGGCGACGCATGAGCAGGCCGGAGGTGAAACAATGCACGAGACAGCTTGCGAAACGGCGCAGATGTAACATCGATACCGAAAGCAAGCTGAAGCAGCGCCGCACGATACGAGGCGACAGTGTTAGGCATAAGATAACGGTCCTGAAACAACCACGAGAGGAAGGACAAGACCACCCGAACAGACAAGGAACTAACACGACGAAGACGCAAAAAGAAACGGAAGGACCGCCAGGAAACTTCATACTGCTGCCGAGAAGAAGCCCTCAGGTGGGACACCAACAAGGAGGCCACCTGATCACCATAGAGATGATGATAGACTCGAGTCAAAAAACCAATACGCGAAGACTCGAGAAGATCGAACCAGCCACGTGACGTACCGGCCCGATCTGCTGAAAGAGGCGGAGCCGTGGGAAAACCCTCGGGTTCGGACACTGAGCAACCAGCGCCTGAAACCAAGGCTGGGCCGGCCACCAAGGGGCCAGAAGGACAACTCTCCCCTGGTAAGTCTCTAAGCGAGTCAGGACCTGGAGCAACAGCCGAACTGGGGGAAAGAGGTACAGGAACCCCCACCTCGACCAGTCTAGCCGAAAGGCATCAACCCCGACAGCCTCGCAATTGGGGAAGGGCGCCGCATAAACGGGAAGACGCCGCGACCACACCGACGCGAAGAGGTCCACCTCGGGGCGCCCGAACGTCTGGCAAAGCCAACGGAAGGACTCGTCGTCGACCGTTCACTCCGTGGAGAGGGGAACGAAGCGAGACAGGGCGTCGGCCAAGACGTTGGACACGCCCTGTACGTGAACCGCCAGGAGAGAAAAACCCCGAGAACTCAGCAGACGAGTCACCCGAAGCGACCAACCCCAAAGAGACAAGGACCGCATCGAACCCCCGCGGTTCAGGCAATGAACCACTGGAGAGCAGTCCGAATGGAGCCGAATCATTGATCTGCGGGCCACCCGAATCCTTCCCAGAGCAAACCACTCTGCCGCGAACTCCCGCACCGTGCTGTGAGCTCGACGGAAGGATGGATCCCAACGCCCCTGGCCGGCCTGGTGAGCACTGGTCACAAAACCCCAGCCGAGAGACGACGCATCCGTGTACACATCGAGCGAGGGCTCGGGTAAGCGCCAAGGCACTGAACCCCGAAAAACCCGAAGAGGAAGCCAGTGACGCAGCAATCGACGCAAGGCCCTCGGGGGTCGAACTCTGCGATCGCGAGAGGTGGAAAGGGGAACCCCAAAGGAACCACAATAGCCGTCGAAGCCAAACCCCACCCAGCGGGTAGACCACCATCGTGAAGTTCAGGCTCCCGCACAGCCCCTCGAGCAACCGCCGGGTGACCTGAGGGCCCTCAAGAAACAGGCGAAGGTGGGACCGCAGCCGCAGGAGAGACTCCGGAGGGAGAGACAAGGAGGCGGTTCGAGAGTCCCAAACGAGACCCAGCCAAGTCCGAACCTGAGAGGGAACCAAATAGGACTTCCTCCAGTTCACCAAGAACCCGAACTCGGCGAGCTGGGAAAGAACCAAATCCCTGGCTAGCAAGCAAGCTGACCAGCTGGAAGCCGAAACTAGCCAGTCGTCGAGGTAGGCCAACACCCGAACACCTAGGAGACACAAACGAGCCACCACAACCCGTGTAAGGCGCGTGAACACGCGAGGTGCCAGGTTCAACCCGAACGGGAGACAACGAAAGCGGTAACTCAGACGCCCCACAACAAAACCGAGCCAGTCCCTGAACCGTGGATGAATCGGGACATGCCAATAAGCGTCCCGGAGGTCCAGGGACACCATCCAAGCTCCTGGCTCCAAGAGGAGCCGAACCTGAGACAGCGTAGTCGTCCGAAAGGAGGGGCAATGAACCCAGGGGTTCAGACGGGACAAGTCCAGAATGAGCCGCAGGTCCGCGCAGTCCCGTTTCGGAACCGGAAACAGACGGAAAACCCATCTGAGGGACGACGTCGTTTCGACGACGCCCAAGCGTACCCACTCCAAGACGACTCGACAGAGCGCAGGGGAAGAAACCTGCCCTGCCAGCCCCGACACCCCCAAGGGGGGAGGGGCCACCCTACACCACCGCAGGCCGCGAGACACGACCGGAAAGTACCACGAATCGTGGGACCAGGCGCGGGCGAACAGTGCAAGCCGCCCCGTCAATGGGGCAAACCGCGAAAGGGCCGGCGACCCTTACGAGACCCAGAACCCCGCACAGCGAGAACACCGCGCCGACCAGACGAGGGAGGGTCCGCAGGAGGAGCCAAACCCGAACCTGACACCAGAGGCCTACCACGACGAGAGGAACCCCGAGCCCTGGCACGACCTTTTGGGGAAAACCCACCCCGGGACCCCCGGAAAAACAACAGGTCCGACATCGGACGACAAGCCGCCGACGCAGCCTGAATAAACTGCGCCATGGCCGACTCCTCAAACAGAAGAGGACAAAATGGTGAAGAACGCCTAAGAGCCAGAGCTCGAGCAGATTCCACGGAGGAACCCAGCACCGTCTGCCAACACACGAGACGGGAAGCATAAAACAGGGAAACTGCATCCTGCAAAATCGGCGTGAACAGCTTCAACAAGGAAGCCGACGAACGCGCAGCCGAAGACAAGGTGCCGGACCCCGGGACGGACCCAAGCGTTCTCACATCCTCCACGAGCCAATCTGGAGACAGCTCCAGGAGGGAAAAGAACCGCAAGGCCGAAGCCAAAAGGCCCCGGGCGTGCAAGTCCTCTGCAACGAGCGCCGCCGAAAGGGTGGGAACCTGCACATGGAGCTGAATAACGCCCACATCGCGGGGAAGGGCAGGGGAAAACAAGCACTCATTTAGGTACTCAAGCTCGCCCACCAGGAAAACCTGAAGCACCGTGGAAGCTTCCCGCAACTCCAGCGTGCGGAATGACAGAAGGAATGCCAGGAATCCAGAACAAACAAGGGGCACTCTGCTAGCCAGGACGACTCCGGAACCTCGTAATGGAGCCAGAAAGGGAACGAAGTCCCAAACCTGAATTCGGATGGATCCATTTCCGAGGCATAATCCGGGTCACGCAGGAGGTAAGCTGCAAAGGCCGCTCGCACCACACCAGGTTGGATGCAATAAGCCGAAAACCTCCGGAAGGACGGAACCGACGTACCCGGGGGAACACGGAACCGAACCCGGGGAGGGGCCGACACCAAATCCAACTCGTACGCAGAGGGGGGGAAAAGAAAACCCCACTCCTTGTAACAATAAGCCCCGCTCAGAGGGAAGAAAAACCCAGGCGGGGTCCAGTGGGGCCCAAGGCCCCCAAGTCAGCCCCTCCCCAGCCTCGAGGTCCTTCACCACAGGACCCGAGGCCGAGTCCTCTCCCCAAGCCCCGACCCCACAAGACGAGGACGGAGCAGCCAGAAAAGCTGGAGGAAGGGGGGCCCACTGGTCAGACCCAGAAGCTTCGGCCGGGAGATAAGACTCGAATGCCTCTGCTGCCCCCCCCCCCCGGAAGGGGCACCCCCCGAAGCTGCCCGAGTCTCAAGATCAAGTAACCCCTGCTCCGACCCCGAAACTCTCAGACGCTTCGGGGCCGGAAGCAGGGGGGGGGGGACCAGAACGAACAGAAGGGGAAGAACGAGGAGGTGCGGACTGAACCAGGATCAAAGTGACCCCCACCCCCAAGTCCGGGTCTCGAAAAGCAAAGCGGGGCAGCCCCGGGGCATCCGGGTGAGCAACCAACCGAGCGCGTTGCAACAGACAAAACCTAGACTGCAACGCACGTGCCGCCTGTACCCGAATAGAATCAGAGGATTGGGTAAATTGAGTCACAAGCAAGCAGCAACACTCACAGGACTCAGGGTCGAAAGTATCACCGACCCAACAGGCAGCGTGGCAGAGGCAAAAACAATGAGGGTCACCCTGAGACAAGGGGACCGAGCAACCCTCAAACTCGCACACAGCGAGTGGGAACTCCGGGGTCACATCCATCGGACCCACGTGCCCCCTAGGGGATTCCCAGGGTCCTGAGCGTTTACTTTAAGAGGACTCGCGCTCAGGTAGTCCCAGGCAGGGTGCTACAAACTGGCGCCCAAAACTACCAACCAAACTTCTATAGCTGAACCCCAGGGACGTGTACACTCACGGGGACCTTGCAGGGGGCGCCACCGAGGAGAACAGTGGAAGGGCAAAAACAAACTGAAAATGACAGAACCCCCCCACGAGGCAAAAACAAAAAGAAAAACAAAACCCCGCAAGAGGACAGCGAACCCCAAGGAACAGAGCCGGCCGCGATGTCGGGAATACAAGCTGAGCAGCACCCTGCGCCCCTACCAGTGCAAACTGCCTCTTACCTGCCGGTAACAAGGGAGAACAGAACACCCAAGAGCCCAACAGGCGGCCGAAAAACCGAAAGATAAAACAAACCAGCAGAGGTAGACCCCGAGGAGCCTGTGGAAGGTGGCCCCAAGCCCCAAGGGCAGTACTTACAGGGCACTTAGGGAAGGCAGCCCTAGGCGCATGCAGCCCGAGTACTGAAGGTAACTCCTGGCTCTCGCACCCACAAAACCAACACCACACGCAAAGCACAGTAGCGACAGCGGAGCCAGAGCACACGACCATCGCCTATAGCATCAGCCTCAAGAACTGAGGTGTGGGTAGCCGGCGTGGAGGGTCTGGGGCTCCCCCTTCCCCCTCCCGGGGAGGGGGGAGCTGCGCAGACAGCGGCGCGGCGGTGTGTGACGTCATACTAGTTTGCTTGTTTTCGGTTGGGGAGTTCTATCCACTAGTTCGGCTTTTGGTAGCAATTTTAACCAGAATAGGGGTTTGTTTTGAGGCGCTTACCTTTCAGGGTGCCTGTTCCGGTCGATGGCAGACATAGAATGCTTCCAACCACACGGGGGCTTCTATAGGCCATTGCTCCCCTTGCCTCTCTGAGGGGACCCGGTTCTGGCCGTGGTCCCCAGTAGGCCTAAGAACTCCATACACATGACTGATGCCAAAGTCTGACATTAGCATATCAGCCTGGGATAGCTCCGGGGAGCCGACGGGGCTCCCCCCAGAAAATGCCATAATATACTTGTTCATGCTATTATGAAGCGATGATATTATTACAGAAGACCCCTGACTGATAAAACTGACCAGGGTTCTGATAATAGCAGGATTGTGGTGATATTTAGCGCTGTGCGCCATGGAGGGAGAGTGGTGGCGATGTCTTGTGACTGTGTGTGGCCACCTTTTATTGACTGCACTCACCATACCAGCTTAGTGGTTCGCTATGGTGAACACAAATGTAGATACTTCTATATAACGTGTGTATAGAGGGTATAAACAGCAAGAGAAGGTTGGGAGCCACCATTTTGGTGAGGGCGGTGGCGTCGTGCAGACGACAGTGTTGTCGTACCAGTTTATTTGTACAAGTATGGTTAATAAAACAGGTAGATATTTATATATAATGTGTGTATATAGCGTAATAACACCACAAACAGTATTGTTGGAGGAGAAATATTAGTGCGTCTGGCCTTGAGGGCGGCAGCCATCAGCTGACTGTGTGAGGTCCTACGTCTTTGTGCCTTTACTCACCATACAAGCTTAGATGTACAGTTATGGTGAACAAAACATGTAAATACTTATATATAACGTCTGTATATAAAAGCAAAAACAGTGTGGTGGGTGGAGAATGGTGGCAAGTCAGGTGAGGTGAGGGAGGGAGTGAGTGGCAGCCAGTGGCAGGCTGCCACTGCCTGTCACTGCCACTGCCACTCAGCATACCAACTTAGTGGCTCGTTATGGTGAACACAAATGTAGATACTTATGTATAACGTCTGTATATAGTGAATAAAAGCAAAAACAGTATTGTGGGAGGAGAATGTGGGCGAGTCAGGTGACTTGAGGGAGGGAGGAAGTGGCAACCAGTGGCGGGCTGCCACTGGCACTGCCACTCAGCATACCAACTTAGTGGTTCGTTATGGTGAACACGAATGTAGATACTTATGTATAACGTCTGTATATAGTGAATAAAAGCAAAAACAGTATTGTGGGAGGAGAATGTGGGCGAGTCAGATGACTGGAGGGAGGGCGTGAGTGGCTGGCTGGTACACAGCGGTCACTCCTCGTTACTTTTTGTCTCATAATAGCTACTTAGTGGTTCGTTAAGGTGAACAAAACATGCAGATACGTATATATAACCTGTGCTTATAGTGTAATAACCAACAAAGTATTTGTTCACTGATTGATGAACATAATTGAATCAACAATATGCACACCATATTTTTGAGTACAGCAATGATTCACTCATTTTATTATATAAATATATCAAACTACACACTATTGAATAATATTACAGCAAAAAAAAAACTATGAAAAATCAATCAGAGACATTGAAATAATTAGGTAATTATCTCTTTGTGGCAACTCCGGCCTGACAGCTAGCGATCAACAGACCACCTGGGACGCACGCTGACTCAGCACCTGTTTTTTGCCAGACTTCCCCGCCCTATAGCAGGCAATATATGCCACTTATGATTTTGTTATTATTTTTTCCGTGATCAGTGAACACAAATTAACAGATTAGGAAGAAAAAATAATTTTTGTTTTTTTCAAAATTACATGCACCTGTGGGGAAGAAAGGATATTATACCCCTAGCATGTTAAGCGTTAAATTAATGCCAGCTCGTTTGCCCCTACTCTTCTTATTTGGGGGAGGAGGGAAGCAGCCAGGGTTCAGGCAGCTGTTCCACCTTCAGTTTGACAATGATGCAAACCCGGTCGGTTTGCATTGATTCAAACCCGGGGAGCCGGTCGGCCGAGCGGACAGCACACTGGACTTGTGATCCTGTGGTCCCGGGTTCAATCCCAGGTGCCGGCGAGAAACAATGGGCAGAGTTTTTCACCCTATGCCCCTGTTACCTAACAGTAAAATAGGTACCTGGGTGTTAATCAGCTGTCACGGGCTGCTTCCTGGGGGTGGAGGTCTGGTCGAGGACCGGGCCACGGGGACACTAAAGCCCCGAAATCATCTCAAAATAACCTCAAAATAACCCCCCTTAAGACTTGGAGGAAGGGGTGTCAGGGACCCAAACGTCATCCACGAAATTGGCGTTTCATTACATTAAACACCAATTAACTGGGGCAAGCCCCTTATGAAACCATAAACCAAGCAGGAAAAAGTGAGGCACAAGATACAGGTATAGGGCTCAGGCAGTGTAGGAGTAGACTGGAGGAGAACCAAATGCGCGAGAAAACTTGCAAAACGAAGCCAAGTACCGACCCTCAACTCTAGCTGCAGCAGCTCTGTCACTGCAACACGATACGAGGCGATGGTGGGTCACCATCTCTTCACAGACACGGGGGGCAGGTGTTTGTTTCACTCACCCTCACCATGAAACATCCAGAAAATAAGCCAAGGAAAACGGACAACTACAAGGTTCACAGAAAGAAAAGCAGCAGCAAACATCCCTGCAAATGATCCATCAAGCAATTAATCAAATCTCTAAGTTCCTGCCAGCCACTGTCAGGTTAGCACCACCAGGAAGCTAAGCCTTTATGCTTCACCTGTTGCTGGACCTTGAACATCATAATGGATGAATAAAGTTGACATGATTTATTCAATAATAAAATAATGGACAACTCACTTGTATATGGGAATGTCAGGCTCGCCACCATCCATGGTACGGAGTGTAAGGCAACACTGTTGCAACTTGCTTTTGGGATCATTCCAGTCTTGGTTCATAATAAACTGGTGAAGACGTGGAAAAAAGCATACCTGGCAGAATGTGCGACAATGCTCCAAGCCCTGAGAAAATAATGGTAATTAATAGCAAATATCTACAAACAAAATAGTATTTGAATTTGTATTCGACTTTTTAGCAATGGAAAATGAGACATTACACGTACTACTAAAACAGGAAAACTAAAATGTTGTAATTTATTCTATTCCAATGAATTTCTTACCAAACTAATCAAATATTTATAATACAGTACAGGTATATACTGTACATTGCTGTTCAAGGCCGGTGCTGAATGACATGACAGCCGATAGATTCAGATTCATTATACTGGTGGCACAATCAACTTTTATTAAAATGTAAGAGTTGAAAATACTGCAGGTGTTATCTGTGGCTTCCAATGCTTTTTCTCATAGTGAGGGTTTGGCATTGGCTTAGCAAGGATGCTTACCCGACATGGATGCCCGCCTGTGAATTCAGTGGGAATAAGGGCCGTGTTATGGAATGTGGAATCGGAGAAAACAGCCCACACAAAACATACAAATTAAGAGGAAAGGAATTAAAGAACTAACAAAGAGCTCTAGGGGTGGTTCTGGATAGTTGAATGTCACCAGAGTATCACAGAAAACATTGTGAAGGGAGCACATGCTGCACTTTCCAACTTCAGAATCGCTTTTAAGTACATAGATGGGGAAATGCTAAAGAATGGTTCATGATCTTTGCGAGACAAAAGCCGAAATATGCAGCAGTTGAATGGTGTCCATATCTTAAACACATCAACAAACTGGAAAAAGGGCAAAGTCATACAATTAAATGGCTTTCAGAAATAAAAGACAAGAGCTACAAGGAGAGGGTAGAGGCATTAAGGTGGGTAGAAATTTAGTGCTTAATATATATACTGTACTGAATTATCACTTACCCTATCAATATAGAGGGCCCCTAAAAATGCTTCTAGCAGATCTGCACGATCCTTAGTCTTGAGTTCCGTTTTCAAATGCGAGTACATTGCATAAGTTGTCATTCCAAGGTCATCACAAACAACAGCCTGAGTGCGGTTATTGACCAATGATGACCTCAGCAACTGTAACGCAAATACAAAAGATCATGTAGTTCAAAGATGAAATACGCACTACATTTTTTTTAAATAATATTCAATTTTACTTATAATTTTTAGGTTTAATTATGAGGTAAATGATATAGATCAATTAAAGAAACTAAAATTATTGTACTAATAAAACAGAGGTTAAAAAAAAAAAGAAAAAAAAAGTATTGAACGTAATGAAATGCCAGTTTTTGGGCGAGCCACGGAGGCTCCCTGAAGTTACCATCACTGATTAAGTGCTATACTACCAAGTGTAGTCAGTTGTGGAGTTCTTTTTACCTACCAGGGAGTAGGGGTCCCCCCCCCCAACCTCTGTGAGGAGGCCAGGTCTTGCCCCCTCCCCTCACAGAGGCACAGGGAATGATGGCCTATGGTCACTTTACATTTAAAGCATTTAAATGATATCAGCTTTACCATTACTAGGGAAGGCACCCAGAGAGAAAAGCAAATCAAAACAAACCACTGGTTTAAAAACAAGACCAAAGCTCCCCAAAATGCCAAAAGAACGCCAAGAAGAAAATAAACAAAAACTTGCTGAAACTAGCCCCCCCCCCCCAACTAATTAGCTCCACCTTCCCTCCTCCCACTTGTTGGGGGCAGGAAAACGCGGCTTTAGTTTTTAATGAGCATCATGCCGCCGACCTGGGGAAGGGAGGAGTTTCGGGGAGTCTCCTTGGGATTGCCAAGGAGCATGGATAGGGCATGGACTGACCACGTTTGAACCCTTCAGGGGTCAAGAGTTTTCCGTTGCATGTTGGCTTGGGGAGCATTCAAGCTTAACGCACACTTTATACTCATGCAGCCTTAGCATGTTGAACCGATTTGATGAAATATCGGTGCCCAATAATGCCCCGAGTGCTGTCTGGTGTTGGGGTATAAGTCTCACGCCTTCCAAATACTTTTGTACAGTCAGTGGTTGAGTGGTTATAGTACTGTACTGCCAAGGGGGCATAGAGGCCCTGGCTGACCAGGTGCAAATCCTTTAGGGGTCAAGAGTTTGACCCCTGAAGGATTCAATTTTGATTGACAGCAAAAGTCAAATGCATTTTTTTTTTCAATTTGTTGTTTCTGTGAAGCATACCATCTGCTGGGTATTAAGACAGTACCTTTTCACGTAACAATATATATAGATATATACTGTACATATACAGTACAGTATACAGTATATAAATATGTGGGTATAAATAAGGTTTCACTACTCTAATGCTTCTTTCATGACTACTGGAAGTCTGAGAAGAGTAGCAGCAGTTCTCCAAGGGGGTAAGAGTTTGGGGACTGTTGGTGGTGTTATGACATTACTCTCGTGTGGGGTGTAGTATAATAGAAGAGTTCTGTGGTGACCACCTATGTGATATGTAACATGATATAATACTATCCTCTCCACCGAAACAAAATCACATAATATACATATGAAGACAACATATCAATGGGTCAAGCCTGGCCTCAGGCCAGGCTTGGGGAGTAGAAAAATCCCATCAAGCAGGTATAAAACTACATTCTACAAAGCACAGTCATATGTTGTCATGGGAACTACAGCTTACATGCAAAATACATAAACAAATATTATGTATTGTCATATTCTAAAAAAATGTGGAATACAGTATATTATTTAACAGAATAATGAAGTCACATACCGACAGATGACCTTCATGATGCTCTGGAAAATATCTGTAGAGATACTCTGATGATACAAGTTGCAGAACAGTATCACCAAGGAATTCCAATCTTTGATTAGATCCCAAGGTAAGGTTATTGAATCCAATGCTTCGGTCCGTGAAGGCACGAGCCAACAGTCGAATATGTTTGAACTGCACACCTATGGACTCTTCAAACTTGACAAGTTTCTGAAACATAATAAAGAGCTTGGTAATTTTAATTGAAAAATGCAGCATTGGGTGTACAGTAATGAAATGTCAATTTATGTGCAGTCCTTCAATGTCTCTCTGCAGCTTAACCCTCAAACTAAAAGCCAACATTCTGAATCTATTTCCTGGTGCACATAAACAACAAAACAGCATTGAAGGTAATGAAATGCCTCTTTCTGGTTGGTCCTCAATGGCTCACTGTAGCTAGCCACACTGAGATCACATCAGCCCCAGGTGATCTCGATAGCCTACCGGAGCCAGAGCCAGAACCTGACCCCATCACAGAGGCTCAGGGAGTAGGGAGTTCTTCACAGTTTACCTCAAAGAAAATATCCAAAATGTAGAAAAAGAGAAACAATCAACTGCAAGGTTCACAGAGAAAAAGAGAAACACGAAGCGGAAAAGAATTTCAAATGATTAGACCGGTAGTTGGTACGAGCCATCTGATTTTACAGGTGGCAGCACCACTCGTAGCTGCCGGCTTCCACATCACCCGAGGCTTGACCAGTGTATGTTTATTACATTCAAGGCTGGTTTTCTGGAGGGGTTGAACAGTGACTCCCTGTAGCTAACCACAGGGAAACACGAAAACGGACTTACCAGGGAGGTGGAGAGCAAGAATTAGACTTGCAAGGAAGAGAACCCAAAACAGGAACCCTGACCAAAAGCATCATAAGCCCAACAGGGATCAAGAACGGTGACCAGGTAATGAGCTGTCAATGTGGGAAAATGCTCTCACCTACTCAAATGCATTACTGTATATTCAATTTAAATTATTAAAAAGCTATGAAGATTCGTGTTCTTTTAAGCTCAATTAGTTACAATTTATTAATGTCTATAAATTATATTTATGAGGAATCCCTCTTTATTTATTCTGAAAAATTAATGTGATGAAATCCTTGTAATGTAGGCACATACCATGTCACAGAGTTAATATCTAAACTGATAAATTTGACTCTTAATCCAATAATTATCGTACATAGCCCTGACGATATAAATTTTAAATTACAGTACCTGTACAGTATTCAAAACGCTAATTAATACGACCCTAGAAGGAGCCGGCTTAAAATTCCCACATTCCTGAATTAAACTAAATATTCACTCGTACATGAACACTGATGGGGAAAGAGGGAAGCCATATAAGATAGAGGGAGGAGAGCAAAACAGATGTGGATGATGGCTGCAACATTTATTTGCTTTGCTTCTAGCTTAGTGAACAGCTGTGTATATCAACTGCTTCCAGAAATTTGTCCCGTCGACGCCTAGAAATTTTGCAGTCGTTTCCGGTTTCACAATTAAATACTGTACCTTGATAGAATTTGGCCATTTTCCTGTTAAGTTACCATATGATCTCGGTTATGATGCCTTCTCTCTTCAAAAAATTAAGCTTCAGGGAGCCGCAAGGGGCTCCCCCCAGAAACAAGTGTCGAATGTAATGAAGCGGAAATTTTTGGGCAAGCCCCGGGTGGCTCCCAGACACTCCCTTCCCCAGGGCATCGGGGTGGTTTCCTTCAAAAGAACTGTGGGTGGAGCAGCCAACTGACCCAGTCTGCCTCCCTCTTCTTCCCTAACAAAGGAGGGAGGCGAGGCGAACTGGCCTGTGCTAGTTCCACGAATTTTCAATTGTTTGCTTACATTGTAGGGGGGGGAGGGGTTGGGAGTTCTTTTGGCTGTTCTGAGGATGCAGTATGGTTTTAACCAAGCAGTGGAGTGTTTTGTTTCACTGACTTTCTGGGTGCTGTCCCTTGGTAGTGGCAGATATAAAAAATTTACATAAAATTATTCATAGTCCCACTGTTCCCCGTGCCTCTGAGGGGGGGGGCCAGATTCTAGCACCCAGTAGGCCAATAAGAGCTCCTCAACTGATGGCACCTTACCGTATGGCACTATATTGGTGTATTACATTGCACACTGGTTTTTTGGCTTTAAATTACTACTAATGATGTCCTTCAAATCTTTCTTGCATTCAGACTTCAGCATTTTCAACACTATCTAGCACTATCATCATTTTTAAACTATCATCATTTTCTAGCCTAAAATGTAAGAGCCCTATATTTTTCAACATTAAACTACATCTGCCTATCTTCTCCAGGTTATCACCACCCAGATTTTCAAGAATAAATTGTATTTGTTACATATAGCAATCTTAATCTTAGTTTTAATTCACATCTGAATTACTTACAGTGAGGATTGGAAAAGCCTTAATCCACTTGCGATCACCTTCTGGCTCTTGTTCTTGAATGGGATGAGGTGGATAGTTAACCCAGATGCTGTGCAGTACATCTTCATCTTTAAATAGTGTAGAGCTTAATACTTTGTCTGCCTCCTGTGTGTTATGAGAACAAAGTTAGTTTAACATAATGGAACTACATTTTCCAGAAAAAAAAAATTGTTGAATGTAATGAAATTGCTCTCTCTCTGGTGGGTCCTCAGTGGCTCCCTGTTGCTAGCAACATGGATAGCTCCTCCCAATTCAAATCACACCAAGGCCTTGCGAGTCGTTGCGACCCTACCGGGTACCCTAGGACAAAACCTGGCCCTGTCTATAGGTGCAGTGAGCTGGTGATGCTCGATCACTCGGGCCAAGACCACCAAAATGGTAGAGTGAAACAAAACTAACAGGAAGGCAAACAAAACACAGAAAATGATCCACCAAGTAGTAGGACAGTTCACCCCTGTAGTAGCAGCTGCCCATGACCAAGCCAAAACACCACCAGCTAGAAAGGCTAAAACCAACACCCCCTAGAAGAGGAATGAAGAGTCCTGGGAGCCACAGATGACCCACCAGAAAGAGGTTTTTATTACATTTAGTGCTGGATAACAAAGCACGAAGGAGAACTCACAAATCTACTCACTGTCTATCTGGACGTAAAAAGAAAAGGCTTATGACATAATCCCACACAAGAGGTTATTTTGGAAACTAGAACATGCTGGAGGGGTGACAAGAGGACTGCTGACATGGATTACAAATTCTTCTAACTGACAGAAAGATGAGGGCAGTAATCAGAGGCAATGTATCTGACTGGAGGGGTGTTACTAGCAGAGTACGACAAGGTTCAGTTCTTGCACCAGTAATGTTCATCATCTTCACAAATGATCTACCAGAAGGAACACACAATTATATGAACATGTTTGCTAATGATGCTAAGCTACTAGGGAAGATAGGAAACCTAGATTATTGCCATGCACTTCAAATTAACCTAGATAAAGTAAGTGCTTCGAGCATTATGTGGCAAACGGAATTCAACGAGAATAAATGCCATGTTATGGTATTTATTGCAGACCTGCAGGTGATCCAGGGCCTTTCCACCACCAGAAGAAGTTGCAGGTCCACGTATAGCAGGTCTGCAAGTGGAAGGGAGAGGAAAGTCGACTGGGAATTCTAGACCAGGCCCAATCAGGTCTGGACCTGCAATGGAACCAACTGGGACTTTTGTCAATTCACCAGAAACCTGAAACTAGCATGCTGGGTAAGTACCATAATTTTGGTTTTCAGACATGCAGACTGGTTAGGAGCCCTAAGCAGCCAGTCAGCCACCAAGGAAGTCTAAGAAGTGAACTTCCAAAAACAAAAGACGACAGATCATCACTCGTGTCAACCTGGTTAACATCCAGGGAGCCAGATTCAAGCTGAATGAAAGAACCTGAAAGCAGTAAGCCTGATTCCCCAGCACAAAACCTAGTCAGCTTCTGTACCAAGGATGGATAGGCACATGCCAATTGGAATCCTATAAGCCTAGGGACACCATCCAAGAACCTGCCGGCAACACCGGGGGTCATCTGCCAAAGAGTGGTCAAGCTAAATATGATGTCTTGACTAGAAAGACATATCAAACCATATGTTTATCATATTGGAAAATTGTAATACTACTACAGATTATTTTATCATTTAACTTTTCACAGGAATATACCAAGATATATATGATAACCTAATTACTGTAAAACCAAGACATCTACAGTGAAGTATATTATAAACTATTCGGTAGCAGAAAATATTCAGTAAAAATTTACCCATTCTGCCAAAATCAAGGACGTGACTTCCACATATTGGAAGCTAAATTTAAATATTTCTTTTATGAATAAATAAATCTAGCTTATTTATTATCCAACATTATTTTCTTACACATTCCGAAGCATCCTGTCTATTCATAAAGAATATTTTGTTTACTGAGGAAACTACCATTCCTTGAAAGAGTGATCTCTGATAGAACCTTCCCCAGGCATTGTTACAGCTTTTAATATTAAAATATTTGCACAAATATTTGAAGCAAATGTTTCAGAAATTCATAAGCTAATTTGTCTACAATTAAAGTGAAGCAGTTGCTACTGGTTTGTAGCAAGAAACAATTTACTTTTACTATAAAACACTGAACACATTTTGTTTAAAGTTTTACCTCAATATCAGAGTCCAAGAAGATTGCACCCATCAGGGCTTCAAAGCAGTTAGCCATAGCATGTCGGAGCTCGAAGTCATGACAGAGGTCAGAACCATGTGCATACAGCATAAACTGATCCAAGCCCAGCTTCTCTGCCAACACTGCCAGATGCTGATTCTGCACAATGGCTGCCCTGAAGGATTATAACAAGTAAACTTGTCAACGTTTCCACATGAGTTCACATGCAACACCAACTGGATTTAAGTGAGGTAGGAACAGAGTGGAAAATACAATTGTGCAAGATTTATAAGACAGTAATTATCAAAAGTGCTAAGCCAGGAAAGCTATAAAGCAAAATGATTTTATAAAGGAACAATACAGTACTATTTTGAAGCCAGGAAGGCTATGTAGCAGCATATATAGGCAGGAAAAGGAAGGTTACAAATCAAATACTCGATTAATAAATGTTTACACATTCATAGTCGAGTTAATTTACACAAATTTACAGTAAATTATTTACCTAGGAGAAAGTCATAACAATAACCTGGAACATCTATAATTACAAATTATACTCAAGACTTAGATGCTACATTTATCAATGATTTAAAAATCATCACAGTTTTCAAATTCAGAAGAGAAACTGTCAGCAATAACTTTAACAAATCATTACAATTATGGTTGAGCTAGAAAAGTAACCATCAGTCCAAATCAAACTTTACATTTTTGACAGCACATGAGTAACATTTAGCTAACAATTTGAATGGTGATAAAATATATAAAAATGTGCGTGTGTGTGTGTGTAAGTAATTACCAAAGTGTAGTTACAGGACGAGAGCTCTGCTTGCGGTGCCCCGTCTTCCCAGCACTGTCATAACACTTTGAACCTACTGACTGTTTTAGCCTCCACCACCTTCTTACCTAACTTTTTCCAACCACCTAACACTCTGTTTGCAAAAGAAAACTCATGTTTTTTGGCATCTTTGTTTCCTTTGTTTGAATTTGAGACCACTTGTTCTTGAAGTTGCTAGTTTCAGAAATTCCTCTGTCAATTTTGCAGCTTCCTGTTATTACTGTACTTTATAAGTAGTAATCATATCGCCTCTTTTTCTTCTATCTTCTAGCTTTGGCATATTTAACACCTCTAGCCTCTCTTCATAACTCTTGTTGTCCAGTTCTGGAAGCCATTTTGTAACATGCCTTTCCCAGTTTATTAATGTGCTACTCGAGATATGGGCACCATACAACTGCCGCATATTCCAATTAAGGTCTCACAAAAGAAATGAACAGTTTCATTCCTATTTCCCCATCCAAGTGAGTCTGAAGTTGGAGAGCAATGTTTATGCTAAATGCACAACGTTTATCTAGTGAGAGTCTACTTTGCAACACCACGTCTAGATCTCCTTAGAGTTTTATAACTAATCGAGTTTCAAATCTTACACAGTACTTTAAAATAACCCAGATTCTAATGCACAGGTCAGGGATTAATAATGAGCATATCCCTGATTGTAATGCACAGTTCAGGGAATAATGGTGAGCATATCCCCAATTGTCATGCACACCTCAGAGATTAATGGTGAACACATCCCTGATTGTAAAGCAAAGTTCAGGGATTAATGGCAAGCACATCCCTGACTGTAATGCAAAGTTCAGGGATTAATGGTGAGCACATCCCTGATTGTGAATCACAGCTGAAGGGTTAATGAAGCATTGATAATACACATGAAGCAAAAAAGTCGCGTCTCAAAATATTAGTATACTGTAATGAAGTTCATATATATACAGTATATATATTCAGACAGTCCTCTATTGTAAATTTACTATAATGTATTTCAATAGTTTACCTGTATGTTGCTAATCCACCTTCTTCCAGACTAGGGAATAAGTGGAAGAGATGAATCGAGGTCAGAAACTCTACAACTGCATCTCCAAGGAATTCCAAGCGTTCATTGTGTGTGATTTTGCTCTCCGTCTCAAGGTTTCGGCCAAATCTTGACATGATGTTTATGAGTGTGTTAATGCCTGCAAAGCAATTTAAACATTTAAAACTGTGCACCTTATAAAGATTTCAATAAACATCGACACCTGCCTCTCAAATTTAATCTCGGGTAGTTACCATTGTTAGGGTTAATTCTTAAAACAACTGCATAAGTGAATGAATGAGACCATGGATATGAGGTGTACATATTCTTAAAGGACCCGGATCATCAAAATCCTGCAAAAAGAAATATATTGAATATACCAGTAAATGAAAATCTGGGAAATACAGTATGTCTAAAGATACCTCCAACCTGTGGCAACACTATGCCAATCAAATTATGCATACATGAATTGCATATGCATTATTATGAGCATAATTCCACAACCTTCTGGGGCCCTGGCCACATGCATAAATGCTTTAAAGGAAAATCATAAAATCCAAATGAATCTTGCACCAGTAAGTCTGGAAAAATTATTCCAAGGACAAATCTGTCAAGAACTATGACTGATTTAGATGTTGCCACAAGAGTTCTTGACATGTTCTCAAAATCTTTTGCTTTCCTTATCATCATGTACATAAAGAAAAAAATAAATTCTCCATCCCCGCTTTCTATGAGTGAAGCTACAGAGAAAGGAGCCACAACTTGAACAAAATGTGAAAAACCAGAGGATCCCGGGTGACCAGGGATGCCATCTAGTAGTGGTTGGCCTATCATGAGTGGGGTACCTGCTTGATACCTGCTTGATGGGGTTCTGGGAGTTCTTCTATTCCCCAAGCCCGGCCTGAAGCCAGGCTCGACTTGTGAGAGTTTGGTGTTTACTCAATGGCACCCGTTTGCTCAGTTTGTTTTCCTCAAAAGTACCGTACTAATTTACTTCAAGCAGTTGCGTGTTTGATGTGCTTGAACTTTACTTTTTCTGTCAATTTTGTGTATACTGTGGTAAAATGTCATACATTCATAGCCCTTGTATCGGGGAGGAGCTAATGTCATACCGGCTGAATGCTCGCTCTACCATTGGTGTTCCGATTGTCAGTCAGCCGGGTCGAGCTTGCGTTAAGGTTGGTAAAATGTAATTTCTAGCTGAATCTCCGAGTCAGGAATTACTCTTTGTTTAATTTCATTGCTTATTGTTAATGACAATTGTTATTTTCATTGTTAAACTACCTATTGTTAAACATATTGCTTAGTGTTATAAGCAATACTTTATTGTTGTTAAACTAATTATATACAGTGCTGAAACCGTATGGCTTGTAAACCATATGTGTTGTCTTATTACAGATTACTACACTGCAATTTTATGATCATTAAAGCATCAAGTTTGGCGATGCCTTTGTTTTACCACATATACCATATCTCTGATTCTTAAGCTTCCCTTCATTCAAAGAGTCAGATTCTGGTCCTATCTCTTAGTACATTCAAGTGGGTCTGAAAGACTTATGATTCCCTAAGATTTAAAGCTTGATGAGGTTCAGGGAGGAGTTCTACTCCCCGAGCCTGGCACAAGGCCAGGCTTGACTTGTGAGAGCTTGGTCCAGCAGATTGTTGCTTTGGGTGACCCGCAGGCCCACATATCCACCACAGCCCGGTTGGTCCGGCACTTCTTTAAGAAAACTCTCTAGTTTTCTCTTGAAGAATGTCCATGGTTGTTCCGGCAACATTTCTCATTTCTTATACTCGCTGGGAGGATGTTGAATAACTGAGGACCTCTAATGTTTACACAGTGTTCTCTGTACCTATGGCACCCCTGCTCTTTACTGGATGTAGTCTGCATTTTCTTCCATATCGTTCACCCCAGTACAGTATGTTGTTATTTTACCGTGTAGATTTGGTACCTGGAGGTGCACTACACTGCACCTTCAGTATCTTCCATGTGTATATTATGAGTATATTGAAAAGACCTAAGAAGTTCTAGTATTATAGCTACAGGCCTCTTCAAATTGGGGCTTGCCCTCAGTAAAGATAAATGCCGAGGGTTAAGAAATTTGAAGACAATACTTTCAGACACTCAAGTCATCAGCTGGACACAATAAGCAGAGGAAAATTATTTAAATAGTACATTATAAAACTAAGCAAGGCAAACCTATAACAAGGTTATCCCATAAAAATTTAAAGTTATAGTATATACCTTTTAAGCAAGCACTCACCTCTTTTACGAGTATTCATGTAGTGAATTCGCCTATCTCCATATTCTGGCTGACGAATGCCACAATTTGTGAGGGAATTCCTGGCATGGTCTGGATTAGTTCCAAAGTTTTCCCTAAAATATTAAATACAAGATTAATATTTTAAGTAAGTTTCCTGTAAGAAATACTGTACAAGAAAAGTTGAATGTAATGAATTCTCTCTTTCTGGAGGAGAACCAGTGGGTCCTTGAAGCCATCTTGCTCCGATTACCCCATACTAAAAGGCCACATCAGTCATGGATGCTCCATTTGGCCTATTGAGGACCAGAACCTAAAGCTGTCCCAACAGCACAGGGAGCAAGTAACAATCTGCCACACCTACAGAAAAAGCTCCAGAAAGTCAGTGAAGCTTTATAGACAACTGGAGGGTTCACAGAATATGAAAACTTGAAGCTGCCAAACAACTCTCCAAATAAGTCACACAGAACAAGGGATTTAGTCAAACTGGCTCAACTCTCTTTAGTACCAAATACTGCCCAGCCCCAGTGCCTGGCTGGCTCCCCTCATCAGTTTTGGAGCAAATGAACTTGCATCAATGTTTGCAGATGAATCTGGAGACAGTCAAGGCCTGCAGAAAGTTACACGAGGACCTTGACAAACGGTTGCTAGAGTTCAATCCCAACAAGTGCTAGATAATGAGGAAGAGAAATTGAGAAAGGAGACCAAAAGGCATCTACACCATATGGGGAAGACAGTTACAGGAATCGAGAGAAGGATCTGGCAGTGGATATACTATCGACACAGGAGGCGCACACAAACAGGATAACATCGGCAGCATATGGGATGCTATCAAATATAAGATCATCATTTAGGAACCTGAATTAGGACCCTTTCAAAGCAATCTACACAACATTTGTTCGACCAATAGTGGAACAAGTATCACCTATATAGAAGCCACACCCTGTGAACAAGGCCAAAATTGAAAAAGTACAGAGGTTTGCAACAAGATTGATGCCAGAGCAGAGGTACAAGCATAGGCTAATAGAACTAAATCTAACTACCCTAGAGGATAGAAGAAACAAGAGGGGATATGACCAAAACTTACAAGATACTAAGAGGAATAGATAAGGTGGACAAGGATAGCCTCTTCAGACAGAAAGCAGGACAAGAGGACACAGGTGAAGAGATTGCTAGAGCACAGCAGCACGACTGAACTCCTATATTGCGGAAATCTTTCTCCGTATCTCAACTATTAACATAACCTTGCCTAAAACTGAGGATACTGTACTTGCAAGAGGATACTTGCAACAATTCTCATTGGTGTCCTATGGCCATATTGGTATCAGTGGAGGATCGTCACAACTCTTCACTCCTTGACTCGCCAGTGCATCTACGTACCTACACTGCACCTCATGATCAAATCAAATGGGTGCTATGGCCAGAAATTAACACTGATATTCGATACTAGGCTTGTGCATATGTCTCCAATGTTAGAAATACAGGATACACCATGTCACAGACATTGCTTCAATATTTCCCTGCTATTATTTGCCAGATTTGAGGTGGTTCTTGTAGATAGTGGGCCCTTTTCCTCTATCTGGAGGAGACTCATTCCTATTCACATGCCGACCTCTTTTCTAGATTCCTGAGGCAGCTCCTATAGTGGAGAACATAATCCGAGTCAAAAGCTCGTCCTTTCCTTCATAGTTGGGCATCCCAATTTAGAGCTCCCTGCAACAATCGTCACTGCCCAGGGTCAACAATTTGAATCACTTGTGCCAGGAACTGATGTAATTTCTGGGAACATACAACCACACCATAGCCTGCCATCCACAGGCTAACAGGATAGTTGAATGGTTTCACTGCTAACTGAAGGCAGCACTAAAGGCACAACCAGACCTAACCAAGTGGATCGACAATCTTCCTTTGGTACTCCTCGGTATCCGTTTGGCAACTAAACAGGACAACGGGTTTTCATTAACTGATCAACACAGTTTTCATCTCCATTTTCCAGGAGGAAGACCTGGTTACCTCAATATCATACAATGAGCAGGTGGATACATCGGTCTTCATGGAGCGACCTTGAATTGCAATGTCACAGATATGCCCTATGCCACTCCGTCACCTGTCTACACAATGAACCTACATACCCTAAGACATTCTCCCAGCTAGCCATGTGTTAATGCTGTACAGTATATCAGACACTACAGGAAACATATGATGGACCTTTACAGGTGCTATCGAGAACTCCAAAGACCATCCCCCCATCGAATGTCAAGGTAATCAAGAGGTAGTCTCAGTTGAAAATGTGAAAGCAGCACATTTTGACTACTCCAGCCTTGCCTGTCCTGCTGCTGCTGCCGAGTTCTTGTATTCATGGGAACAAACTCCACCTCCCCACTACCAGCGGATACCTCTTCCTGAAGTAGTAACCACTGTTTCCTTTCATCTGTCAGTACCTTCTTCAGATCTGAGCCCTTGACATCTGCTGATGATGACAGACAATGTTGACAGTCACATAACCCACATAGGACACACTGAGCACTGTTCTTAATTCCTGTACTCTGGAGAAGATGGGGTGGGGGAGGCAAATACTGTAGTGACTTTGATGTAGGGTGGGGGGGGCCTAAACCCCAAAGTAGATTTCAGGGAAAATGACCTCAGAGCTGAGAGACCAAGTGAGCTGCCTGGACACTACAAGCATGTAAAAAGGTTTTGCCATCTCACTTCCTCCTTGAGTTTGACAGATATAGAACATTTATTATATCTGGTGACTTGCATTTGCTTAACCAGTCTGGTGGATAAGCAAGACAAAATCTGAATAGTGTAACAAATTTTTTTCTCACGCTAAATTATCCATCACTTTTTAATTAATAATAATTTTAATTAACTGCATGCACAACAAACCTACCTGTATGATGGGTGAGTAAGAGCCAGCTGCAGTAGGAACCTAGTTTGAAATTTATAGCGAATGCGTTCTTCCAGCACTTCAAGAGACTGATGGAATCTCAAGTGACATACCAGAACGGGTAGCAACATGGCATGCTGTGAACAAAATTTATTTTTTATTTAGTAGTTTTTCCAATTGACAGAATATACATAGATCTGTAATAATTTGAAAATACAAATTATATCAAGAGTTATGCTAGTAAATAGGCAGTCCATCATCTCGAGTTGTCACATCTCAAAAATGATGTACTATATTGCCAGACACTAACCAAACTTTTCTATTCATGTCAACTCATGAATAATAAATGGGACAGTCCAACTTTGTGAGCTGCTATGGTTTATAATACACCACATATAGAACATAGGAGATTTATATGTCAAAATGTTTTTTATTGTTTGAGAGGACAGACTGAAATTAGACTGCTATTGAAATCATTTCCTAATACTGTGTTTCAGTATGTCAGTCTTGTAGCAATTTTTTTCTCATATGGAGCATGTTACCTGAATCAGCATTGCAGCAACACAATAATGAAGTAAATGTAAATTTAACACCAACAGTGAACTAACCTGAACAACATCACACATTATCCCTGTTCGGTAAAACCCTTGAGAAGAGACAGCGATGGTCACATCTCTCTTCATTTTGGATGTCATTCGCATCTCTTGTAATCTGTTTTCTTTTGCTTCTAGTCGTCTTTTGTCCTCAAATGATGGCTTCGGCATGTTAGCTAGCAAGTGCCGAAACTTGACGTACTCTCTCCACGCTTTTTGATACCTACGAATATTAACAAATACTGTATATAATACATTGTCAAGATAGGTAATTTTATCTGTATCTATTATTAACAACAAATGGTAATTAATCAACTTGGGAGATGCTGAAAATGTTTACAGACATTCTTTCCAATTAACATTTCCTATATTTAACCGTTCCACTGTGCACCATGGCTGGGGTGGATCCCTTCCACCTGCACAACACAGCTGGAAAAGTTTTAAAGTATTACTCAAGATTTAATAGTCCTGTGGGTAAACTTGGCACATCATCTTTCTCAGGCCTCCAGTAAATGGATACCATCTTGGAAAGAAATCTTGAGCAACCTTACTGGGTGCGAGTGTTGTGTGGGGATCACCGCCCCCCCTCCTTCCCTCACACAACAGGCATGTGGAGGTAATAAGAATAACCATTGACATGAAAGAAGACAAACATCTTGCAAACTCACATTCTGCAAGTGCAGGCTTCAATCAAACCCAGACCACACCAGAGACTGCAAGTGGCTTATAAGGTCCTCAAGATAAAGACCAAACAGGAACACCCGGCATAGCAGCTGCTCGTCAAGAAGAGCACATGCCTAATCTAGCTTAAGAAAAGATGCAAGCACCGTGCCATAAAACAGGCCCAAGAACAACTGTGCACCCCAACAAGGAAAACCCCAACTTCCTCCTCCACCTCAGAGCCTCACAGAGGAATAAGAGACCCCATGCAGTAACAGGGAAAGGTATCCTCCACATGCACTACCAGAAAGCAAGGAGACTAGAGAGGAGTCAACTTGCAGAGGAGGAACACAAATCCGACCAGAGCAGACGACATCTCTGGTGGGCAAGGAAAATGTAAGTCGACTACCAAGAGAACACGGACCCACAGCTGGAACAAAATACAAAGCTAGTATTTTGGCTAGTATAAGCCCCTCAAATCACCTCGCCTCAAGGTAGGGCGCACACAATGTGGATGGCATCACCCTAAATTGTGAAAGAAAACAAAAGTACTAAATCAATAGCCCTAGCAGAATTCATATTGTAGCCATAGCAAGCACCAGTTAGCAAGTTGTAATTATCCAAGTGGAGTTACGTGATTAGAGTTACACTTGTGTTGTCCCGTCTTCCCAGCACTGTCATAAAGCTTTGAAATTACTGATGGTTTTGGCCACCACCACCACCTCACATGTTCCAACTGTCTACTACTCTGTTTATCCTTTTAAGTGTACAGCAGAGAATGGACCCTCACAACAGTTACAGCCCCACTCCTGTGCCAGGTAAGTCCACAACGGGCTCACCATAGCCCGTGCTACTTTGAAATTTGTTCCCAGTAGCCGAATCTTGAACAACAACAACAACGAATGGACCCTGTCAGAGCCATGTTTACAGTACCAGAGGAGATTTTGAAAGCAGGCTGGTTAGAAGCCCCAATAACCTGGGCTGCCATACAAGTTGCTCATTTTGCTGTGCCTGTTCTTTTCAGTGGGATTTTGCTTGGTTTTGTGCCAATGACTGACCACCTTGGTCCTCCTGGCCTTGCACAGAGGCCAGATTCTGGTCCTGGCTCCCAGTAGGCAAGGGTGGGTCTTGGATGCCTGCTGCAAATCCTAAGGCAGTAACAGTGCTTCACCTAAGAAAGCCTTCCCAGAAAAACTTACCAATTTTCAGGCCATATTTGAATTTTTTTTATATTGGACAAGCAATCTAAATTTAAGGTATTTATTACTTTACAGTTTTTGCCATAGTTGTTACATCCAGTTTTCTTATTTCTAACTTCTACAAAGGCTACAGTGATTGGTATCTGTGTACATTATATTCCTCTGCTCTCGCACTGTCCACCCTTCCCCAACCACGAACAAATAATACTCACTCTGGATTACCGGCATATGACAACTGAGGGGGACGGATGCCAAAGTGGACAATAACAGGATAATTAATAGTTTCTTCGCTAACTTGGTCACGATCCAATTGATCCACTCGAATGCTGCAGGGCTTCATGCCTGGACTTGTCACTACCATACCTGGAAAAAATTCAATGATTTTTTTAGTAAAAGATTTTAAGTACTTTTGGTCTTTTAACTCCTCCACTGCACAGAAAGCTCTTAGGCTTCTTATGATTGCAAATCAGCATTAAATAGGAAGTAGAGACATATCAACAAAAGCCAGGTTATGAAAAGATACTTCAATCTTCCATAGATAGCAACAAAGCTCAGACACGCTACTGAAAAATAGTGCCTAGTGTGATAAAAAAAAATCCCTTACTGTATAGTTCTTAGCAGCTAGCCTGAGCTAATTGTAGTGATGCTGTATGGCCACATTTAATATGCCAGGCTCTTTTTAAACTATCTCTGCCCAATGGCACCAGTGTAACGGGGGGTGGGGGAAATAGCTCTCTCTTGTCCATTATTCCACCCCCAGTTAACTAACGAGGCCGGGGGAAACAGCTCTCTCTAGTCCGTTATCCCGTCCCCAGTTAGCTAACTATTCTAGAACACTCCCAGAGTTCCTACGGCAACCCCTCTCGTTCAACACCTTGTAACCTAGATATTTGCCTACCTAGGTGCGGGTACTACAAGGCGCCGTAACTTGATCAGCTACCCGAAACTCTAGAGAGAACTCTAGAATACATTTCACTGCCACAAACGCATAAGAGAAAAGAAAGGGAAGAAATGAATAGTGAAGTAATTAGTGAGGGTTTGGGGTGAGAGAGGTAGAGAGGTGGGAGGAGCGAGGAGGGTCGTCAGTTGAAAGTGAGAGTTTGGAGAGGGGTGGAGGGAGAGGTGTAGATAGGTAGAAGTAGAAGAATAGATAGTAGAAGTAGAAGAGTAGGTAGTAGTAGAAGAAATGCTGCCACCATCCATTCAAGACCATTACATACAAGACAAGGAATGGAACTTGTCTGTATCACCAAATTCTCAAAGATGTTAACACAAGGTCATTATTAGTCTGTTCCATCTGTATCATGTACTCATTAAAATCATGAACCCAGTAACCACAGAGGCTTCCTCATCTCAACTCAAAACCTCTAGGGAACAAAGTTAAAGACCATTTAAATAATAAATTCATGAATTATATTTTTCATGATAAGTATCATAATTTAAACCATTCAACTGAGCGCTCACTCGCGGCTAACGCATGGCCCGTCTTCAACTCGTCGGCGGTTGGAGCATAACCAGGTTTTTTATTTTATATGCTAATGTTCCTCTAGAGAATTCTATTGCGAACCCATTGAGACCAAAATGAAAGACCTAGGACAAAAATTGAGGTGACCACAGTGAAAATAGTGAAAACATTTTATCGCGTTTGCACGCTCCTGGGTAACTCATTCGCACTTTCTGTTTGCTGCGGGTAATTAGCCGGGCTTTTGGAGTTTATATGCATTTAGTGCTGTAGAGAATTCTATTGCGAACACAATGATACCAAATTTAATCTCGTAGGACGAGAATTAAGGTGACAAAGTTGAAGAGAGTATACACTTTTCAGAATTTACGCGCGCTCCCGTGACACCCTGGGTCCCATATCACACAGTTGAAGGGTGGCGCGTGGGGTACGCCAAAGTGTTAATGTTCAAGATACAAAGTGCAAAGTGAGTCATCATCCAAGAATTCGAGAACCCTACAACTTGACTGCCCCTGATCCTCACACAACATTTGTAAACACAACCAAGTCACCTTTATGTTCAACTCACCAAGTGTCTGCCTATAGCTGGATAGAGGGGGAGGGGGGGGGGGGTCCGTAGTTGACAGAGACTGTCCCGCCCTGCCGGCTGACAGCCTCCCTGGCTAGGCAGTCTTCTCTGCTCTGCTGGCTCTCTGGTCTCCTATCCTCTGCTCTCCGAGTATATATTGGGGAACCTAGTAGCTAACTCCGCCCACAAGTAGATAGCCTCAGGCACTCTACCAAGCCACTCCTTAAACGTCGGCATGTTTGAAGGCTACCAGGCTACAATTATCCGATTAGCGGAAGCAAGGTGAAATTCGCATGACTTGACCTCAGGTCAACTTGAGGTCATTAACGGTTAGAGGTGTGAATTTCAGGCCGACAAACGGGCGCCTTCTCAAATCCCTGTCTGTGACTCCTGAATCTCTATGTATTTTTAAATAAAACTAAACCAAACACTTTTACAGTGTTACACCAGGAGACAAAAAAAAATTCCATCTTGCCATCTCAAAGAAGCATGATCATGTTGTAATCAGAGATTAATATACTATTGATAAAAAATACCCAAAATCAGGAGTGTCACAAAATATAACACTGAGATATGTTTGAGAATTAATAATTTACCAATAAATGAGCCACCAAAACTCAAAATGACTTGCTAACTTCTCACCCAGCTGGCAGATGGCCCGAGTAGGCCAGAGAACTTCACGACTGATGGAGCCTAGTAAATGGCCTAGTAAAAATGTAAATAACTACATCGAAGATGGTAGCTTCAGGGTGCCACTAGGGCTTGCCTAGAAATTAGCATTTCCTTACCTTTCATGCTTATTTTTTGCATCAGCAAACATGGAGGGGAATCGGCCTACTCCCTCTGCAAGATTATTTAATACTGTACAGGTATACGAGAAATGAGAGGTCTTTATACTGAATCCTGTGCGATTCTGCTACTGATAGCATGCCACCAAGATCTCACCTCTCATAGTAACTCACCGTCGTCTGTTGCTTGGGTAATCCCTTTGCCACTGGAGCAGTTTCCCTGTCACTCATACCTGCATCTCCAACATATGCACCACTCTCATGTGGGGTATTGTACCAAAGGCTTTCTGATGATCTAAAAATTTGCAATATGCCCACCCTTATCTATCTAGTCTAATTTTTGTTCCCTGGTTATAGAATTTTATTGAACCTGTGGTGTAAGGTTTACAATAATTGAACCATTGCTAGTGGTGTTACAAAATTCCTGCTCTCCCAATGTGCTATTACCCTTATTATCACAATCTTCTCCTCACCTTGCATGGTATGCATGTTAGGGATGCTGGATTGTAAGTTCAGTGCCACCTGTCTGTAGCATTAGGCACTACCATCACAAAAAGCTCAATGCTGTATCATAAATAGTAGATGATCAGTACATTAAGTAACCAAGTTATCTGATGAAACCTACCTTTAAGATTATCTGCATAATTCTGCCACTGGTATTGAGACATGCTAAGAAGTTGTGCTAAGTCTTCAGGTTGTATCAAAGGACCACTACTCTTTAAAAGGAAGCTCAATACTTCGTTCATTGATAAAATTTCCTTGCCATTATCTGAAAAACATTAAGTTGAGAAATAATTAACAGTGGGATATGCTCAAATAAAATACATAACTATTAAAAAATTAAAACAGAAGTCGATAATTGGATATTTTATCTCTCTCAAGCAAATGTTAAATTAGACATTGTAGCAGTAAGGCTGTATGGAAGTGTGCATGACAATTTAAAGAGAATTATTCCTATGATGGCATACCTTGAGATATGAATGAGGTGGTCTAATAAGTACAGGGTACTGTAATGTGTATAAGAAAGATAGGGAGCATAGTCATGAAATTAGGATGGTGTGACAGGAAAAGTCTGAAGCTAGAGGGGGTTTGGTCAGGTGGAGAGGGTGGGAAGGATTCCAAGCTGGTTTTATATGGCATCTTAATTGTCGTACTGTGGTAGCGTGTTAGTGGTGTTTTGTTATGACGGGCTTGTACTGTGGTGATATGATTATGTTGCAACATGTGGTGTGGTGAAGTGGTGTTGCAGTGTTATTTTGGGGGTGAGGTACTGTACAGGTGTGCTGTAGTGTAATTTTGTTGGTCAATGACATTACTCCAAGATGATCCCTACTGGCGAGTGAATGGCCTTTATCCTGGCTCATTACAGTGCCTTAACTAATGGAGGGATCTGGCAGGCTGAACAAAATCTGGACATGTAAGAAGGAAGACCACTGCCCTAATTATAAGTAGCTGCAGACAAAGGAAAGAAGGAAGGCAGATAAGGAAGACACAAAAATCGTACACTGAATATAATCAAATGCCTCTTTCTGGTGGGTCTGTCAATGGGCTCCCTGTTGCTAGCTGTCAAATATCACCTATCACAGTCTAAAGCCTAAAACCTAATCTACTCAGAGGTGCAGGGAGCAGGGGATTTATGATCATCCATACCAAGAGAACACACCTCCAGAAAGGTAGGACAAGCCAAAACCAAACGACTGCGAGGAAATATTAGCAACCCTGGGATGTCCCCTCCGAGTCCCCAGAGACCTGGTCAGAAACCGGGCCGCGGGGATATTTACCTCCACAATCAACGCAAGGTAACCCTGGCAACAAGGAACATAATGCTGTCTATAATAGAAACCAAATCATATTGGGTCCACCATCATTTGAGTTAGCCAAAACATTTGACAGCCAAATTTCTTACCATATTTCTTAAGAGTACCAAATCAATCAAATACATAACTTATGTGAAGAACCACTAACCTTCAAGTTTTCTCACAAATCTCGGCATAAAATGGAATCTTGGGCAACCATCTGCATCACCCATGGCATTGAGATTTAAGTCAACAAGTTCCAAGAGTTCAAGGAATAGATATGAATCTGAAAATACAACAAAATGCATTATGACAACGCAAAAAAATATGTACAGTACAGTAATAATGCTATAACACATTTACCGTACATTTTTACGGCATCATTCACCAAGTATCGGCATATATCTGCTCACTACCTCCGGATGAGCATTTAAATAGATAAAGTATATTGCTTTTCCCTTCTCTCCAGCCTGACACATTCTGACTATTTGCATCCTGTCAGATTCCCTCAATTAGTTATCCCCGATTGTCTCCATTTTCACATCTTGCACAAATGTGCACAAGGTGTTTGTGAGGAATCATTTTCAAAAGCTATTTTAAAGTCAAGAAAAGTGCAGTCTTAACATCCTGATTTAAGTAGCTGGTTAGGTGCCCAACTACTAAGAGCTCCCTACCAACTGTGAACAAGACAGATCTACAACTTCTGAATGCAAAGCATTACCCATTCACGAAGTGCCTAAATACTTATGAAAATGCTAGCAATTAAAATTTTTTTTTTTTTACTAAAGAACAAAGTATACTCACAGAATATATTAAGTTCCTGGATACAAAAGTTGTCAGGAATTTTTTCTTGTATATATAGAATGGTGTATTCAATATTGAAGCGAATAACCCTGCATGTTGGCACCTCTTCTAGTGGGTGATGTGACAGTAAGGAAAATCCTTCAAAAATGAACTCGTGGCCATCATGCAAAATCACAGTTGGAGTCTTAATCTGTTAATTGTAAAATTCAATACGAGTTACACATCTAAGAATTTAAAAAATTAGATACAGTAATAATATACATTTATACGACACATTTGCAGTAGTGGTACATCAAGATTGTTTTTGCAAAAAATTCCAGAGACTATGTGGAATATTTAAAAAACTCTATACAGTATTTTTGAGTGCTACAGAACAAACATGAACCCTCAGAACATACAAATTTCATTGGTGGAAAACCAATATACAGTACTGTACTGTAGTTATAAATTTTACTACAAAATGGGGGAAGGGGGTGGCAAACAGGCAAACATTAAGGGGCTCAAATGAGAGGCTCCCAAATACACCTGAAATATGCACGACAACCAAGGGATCGTCTCCTAGCCAGAATGATTCTGGAACCTTGTAATGCACCCAATAGGGAGAAGAGGACCTGAACTCAAAAGAAGCCGAGTCATGCAGGAGGGACATAAAAATCGCCTCATGAACCTCTGAATGGGAAAACTGTGGAAGGAAACCTCCAGAAAGTTACCCCCCAGCATGCTCAAAGGAACCCAGAAGTGAGCCCCTTGGGTTAGCTAGAGACAAATCCAACTCACACAGAGGAAGGGTACAAAAACCCCACACCCTGTAGTCAAAGACCCTTCACAGAAGGTGCAAGAAACCACAAAGGGACAATGGGAACCCACAGCCCTAATTCCAACTCCCACCAAGCCCCAGAAACTGCAGCCGAGGGCCCTGGGACAGAGGACTATGCCCACCACCTGAGAGAGACTGGTGGAGACCAGAGGTGGCCCTTTCCCTCAAGAGGCCTTGAAGGAAAGGGCCAGAAGCCTCTGCAGGAACAAGAGGGTCAACTGCCTCAGCGCCTGAATCAGAAGGGGCGACCAACGAAACCACCCAAGCCTAAGCCAAACCCTGCCCCAAACCTGAAACCCTCAAGACACTTCGAGGCCGGAAGCAGGGGTAGACGACTGGAGGGAAAGTGAACCATGCAAGACAGGGAATAAAAAAAAGAGGTGCAGGTGGAGCCAAAGTTGAATTGACTAACACCTCCAATCCCAAGTCCCTAAAAGCCAACCAGGGCAGCTCTAGGGCTTTTAAATGTACACAGAACCTAGACTGCTGCAGCACAGAACATCTAATCCGAAGAGCAGTTGCTGTCTGATAATCCCGAGCCTTATCAGGAGGGCTAGTAACAAGAGCACTGTGACAGGAACACTCCCCTCATGACGTAGGATCGAAGGTGTCACTGACCCAACAAGCAGCATGTCAGAGGCAGAATGAACGAACATCGCCATGTGGCACAGACGATGTGCATCTTTCGAGATCACATTTAACGAGAGCAGGTTAGAGGAAATCATCCATGGCCACCGAGCCCACAGGGAATTACCAGGGCCTTAAGGTTTCAATCCAAACAGGACACCAAAGCCCTGGGACACTATGCCAGTACTCTCAGAAAGTGGTGTGTAAATTAACCCAGCCTGGTTAAGAAGGCTGGGAAACCTACCTCACCACACAGAGGGAAAAAGAGGTGATCAGATGAGGGAAGAGAAGAGAGGGCAAGAAAGGAAGATTGGGAGAGTGCCTTGGGCATAGCCAGGTATCCCATCTAGTAATATGAACTATTGTAATGATTATTTTAAGCAACTTTAAAAGAATGACATTGTAAGACTTACTAGGAAGTTTGTTGGTGGAGATATAGTGATCAGATAATGGTGAAGATGATCTGCATTATTAGTCCAAGCATCACACAGAGGTAAATGACCTTCACCAACATAATATCCATGACGAATTCCAGATCGCTGAGCCTTTAAGGAGCACCGACACAAAGGCCCATCATTCATCTAAGGGATAAAAAAAATGTAAATTTTTGTTGGTTGTAAGTAATGTGTAAAAATTTGCAAATTATAGTATACTTTACATGTTTATGATCCATTTCCTAGTGTATGTCTATTTTCATGTCTTGTAATTTCTTTAATTATTATAATTAATTTAGACACACCAACAAGAAGAGAGATGATTATCACATTTGTAAAAGGATAAGAGAAAAAAAATAGTAGAGATTTAAAGTATCAAGAGGGAGATTAGTGCGAAGATTTGCAATTTACTTATGTTGACCTATGTTTGGCATCAAGTTTACTCAAATTCCCTGGTGATTGGCTGGTTCATGATCCTATTTGAATTATTAGCCTAAAGGCCCACAAAGCCATCACAATCCAGCAGATTGGGTACTGCTAGCAAATGTTCTTTAACCTCAAACATGCAGCTAAGGATTTAGACACCTGCCAAGGTAGGGAGGGAGAGAGATATAGATATAGATATAGATATCTATATATATATTACATATATAAAATCAATCAATCTTACAAGAATTATTAATTTGGATGTAAAATACTGTATATGGAAAATATGCCAGGAGTCAACACATGTCTGCTTTCGTAGCCAGGAGCTTCTGCTTCGTCCCGATTCCTGAGATGCTTCCTCCTCCATGGTAAGTGCCCATGTTCTTTTCATTCTCCATGGGCAGAAGGAAAAGAAAGAAATGAAGGAAAAGAAAAGGAAAAGAAAATTTCAGGAAGCCACAAGAGCTGCCCCCCCCCCCCAAAAAAAAAAACCAGCATTGAATGCAATTAAATGACAATTTCTAGACGAGCCCCAGTGGCTCCCAGACTCCCTCTCCAAGTTATTGCGGGTTTCACATCGTCAAACTTGCCTTTTGCTTACCTGCAATGATTTTGGGGCTCAACCTCTCCGTAGCCTGGTCCTCGACCAGACGACCTGGTTGCTGGGCTGGTCAACCAGGCTGTTGGATGCAGCTGCTCACAGCCTGACAAATGAATCACAGCCTGGTTGATCTTTTTGCCCTATTTTCCATTTGGGTTGGTTTATTGTTTAGGATCTTTAATGCCCCTTTGACTGACCTTGGCTCTCTCAAGTTTATTTAATTTTTCTTTCATGTTGGCCATGTAACCCGTCACTTCCCTCATGACCCTTTCACAGGCTCGGCTTAAAATTCTCCCCAATTCTTATACATCAATTCAAGTTACCTCTTGTGTACCCTTTAACATTCTTCCAACCCCTTGTCCCTTTCCTTTCATCACACCAAACTGATGTGGTAGTCCATACTCGCTAGGTAGTCCAGGTAGTTCATCCTGGTAGTCCATACTCACGCTAGAGAGCAGGTAGAGAGTATGTAGTTAGGTCTGTGGAACTTTAGATTTGAGTTGAGCTGAGAGAAGAACTAAGAGAGAGTCGAGAGAGCTGAAAGAACCAGGATAAAAAGCCGAGGGAAATACTGTAACCGAGAAAGATAAAATGGCACCAGTATTAAGAAAGTCACTCACCTCTCCAGGATCATTGAACCATAACTCCGGGTGTAAACGGTCTGGATGGCTACGTTTCTTCTCAAGTTCTTTGGAAATTCTGTCTATTTCGTCCTCCTCATCCTCGTCGCTACTTGAGCTACTGTTGCTATCACTACCATTGCTGCTGCTGCTACTGTCACAATTTTCTGTATTGCTACACTGACCATTCAACTTGTACTTCTTCTTGTGCTTATGTTTGCGTGTGCACTCAGTCGCTGTCTCTAATGGCCCTTTATCACATGTGCTTTCACTATGCATCTCTTCATTATGGTTGGCGAGCCCTCCATCTTCCTCCCTTTTCTCCGAACACAGTTCTGACTCGCCATCACACTGCACACTAGCTTCTTTATCATCTCTCTCACAGCTGCTCTTCTGCACTTCACTCTCTTCTTTACTGTCATTGATTTTAGAATCATTTTCAATAGTCTCATCTACTGCTTCAACTGCAATTACTTCATCTGTATTAACGTCAGTCGTTACATTGATGCAACTAATTCTGGAAGCTAAAAAAATACAACATATTACAGTTCCATTTATAACCGAGTAACAATTTATAATATTTTCACTCGACTCATTTCATATAGAACAGGATATACAGCTGCATATCCCTATCCTCCTACTCATAACTGTACAAAGATACATAATTTAATCCAACAATATTATTAGCAAAGTCATGCACATGTGTGCCTGAATTACCATTATAATTCAATTCTTGTATTGTTTGTAAGTAAAGTAGAGTAATGTGAATTTGTGTTCACGTACACACTAGTTAAACTTTGAAAAACCTACAGAAATTTTTAATCAGATGTAGTTTATACTACATACCATATTACTCGCTTATTACTTATGGGCAGAGTAGAGGTAATAAGGGAGTAGGGGTAAAGAGAAAATGAGGGTAATTGGGGGGAGGAACTATTCCAGGTACAGACAGGCAGACATGTAAATTTTAACCAAATTGCTTTTCACCATAACACAGTACAGTATTCCTGTCAGGTGGGATCATCCAAGGGCCAAACAAATTATTATAACATACCAATATTAAAAGAAATACTTGTACTATATAAACTTACCCACAGATTGCTGCTGTTGCTGTGCACGCTCTTTTTCTGCTCTCTGCTTCTTTTTGTCTTCTCTAATCCTAATGCCTCTCTTTGTTAATTTATCTTCCATATTTTCACATAATAACATTAATTTTTTTGTTGCTCGCATGACTAGAGGGTTTCTGTGAATAAAACACGAAATGAGTAACCTGAACTATTAATTAATATATAGACTAAATATGGACTAATCAATAAGTGTGCGTGTGTGTGCTATACAGTCATAATGGCTTGGTGCTTTCCTTCGATACTTCCCCTATACAAGAGAGAATGTCTATTTGTAAAAATAAGTTGGAGGTCAGATGCTTGGGGCTAGTCTCACCTAAATTTGTAGCGGAACTGGTGTGCGGGTAGAGGAAGGCTCTCCCTGACCAGCCTAAGTTAAATGATTCAAGAAATATTGTCATGTAACCAAACAACCCCCCCCCCCACCCCCCCAAGCAGCAATTTTCATGGTCTGAAATGAATCCGGGGTGAAATCAGGAATGTGATGTCCATAGTGTGTGAAGTAAAGGAAGGAAAGGAATTATCAGGGGAAAGCGCTCAGCCATTATGATTCTATAGCACTTCGAAGGGTCAGGATAAGGATTTGGGATGGGACAGGTGGAAAGGAATGGTGTCCAACCACTTGAACGGTTGGGGATTGAACACCGACCTACATGAAGCGAGACTGTCGCTCTACTGTCCGACCCAAGTGTTTAACCAACATACGAATGTGCCCTAACGCAAGCAGTGAGCGCCCTGGCAAGTACAAGGGAGTTGTCGTGGACGTGTGTGTAGTGCCAACACACACATGGCTGCAGTTGGAAGCAGGTTGACTAGGTAATCCACAACCAACATAATTCAAATTCCCCACCCCACAACATTCTGTGTAGCCACATTCCTATGCCATATGAACAAAAATATCAATCACAGTATAAATAATGATATTATGAATGTTAATTTGAAAAAGCTAACTTACTTATCATCTCGCTGGTAATAAAGGTCGGCTGGAGCTGATCGTATCCATGCTGGTTTTACTTCTTCATCTTCTGCTGCTTCCTCACCAGCCAATTCCTGTTGTTCTTCCTCTATCAAAACTTGAAGTTTTTTTGGTTCCTGCTTCTCCTTATTATCAAGCAAGCCTTTTTCTCGTTTTTTCCCGATACCCACGCGCTCAGGGCTTCTGGAACGGTGACGATCTGGGCTTCTTGAACCATGCCACCTTTACCACCAAAGAAAAGATTCACTGGTATATAACAGCCCCTGAATACTATGTAAAACACTAAATTTTGTTATGTTAGATTAAGCCAAGCATTGGAAACTTACAATTCCTTTAAATGAAGTGTAGTTTAATAGTTAAATTAATACAAAAGATAATAATCAAGAGTTAAATGTAATGAAACTCCTATTCTGGAAGGTCATCATTATCTTACCAATGATCACACACTAGTACCTAGAGCATACCTGGAGATGCTTTCGAAAGTTCTTTTACTCCCCGAGCACGGCCTAGGGCGAGACTACTTGTGATAACTTTATCCAACAGGCTGTTCTTGGAGCAGCCCACAGGCCCACATATCACTACAGCCTGGTTTTCAGCACTTCTTGCAAGAATCTGTCCAAGTGCCTCTTGAATATCTCCACCATCATTCCGGAAATATTTCTAATGCTTGCTGGGAGTATGTTGAACAGCTGTGGATTCCTGATGTACTGTACTGCAAAAACTAAGGATCATGCCTCCGAGACACTGTCACTGAAGACAATGTCCTACAGAGAGTCAAGACCAGAGTCTGGCTCTCTGAGGCGAAGGAATCTTGGGAATCAGAAAGCTAACCAAAACCGAGGAAATAAGCCAGAAAGGGCGAGTGAAATACAAGTTATTGCTTGAAAAATCAGCATTGAATGTAATTAAAAGCCCCTTTTCTGGTGGCGTCTCTTTCATGACTCCCTCGAGTTACCTGCCTGGTTAGCACCAAGCCTAAAGCACCCCACCAGGTCCTTGCAAGTCACGCGTGCCTACCAGAATCTGCCTTCCTCCCCCTCCAGAAGATACGAGGGAGTCTAGGGATACTATATCAAAGTGTAATATGGTTATAATACATCTACATGAATGTAATGAAATTAACCTAGACTCATGAACAAATCGGCTATCTTTTTAATGCGTTATTACAGACAGGGTTATCTTGTACTGTTAGCAAGGAGAGTCAACAATTCACCATTAGGAATTTCCTGCCATGAGCCACTTGGTGCAATAATGTTTCACTCTTGGCTGTTTTGTGAATATAGTTAAATAATATTGTTATTGTTTTATCATTTATCACACATGTCATATTTAAGTTTATTTAAAAGATTTTATGTATTTACATTAGTTTACAATAAGGTTGAATGCTAACATGGCCACATCCTAATGGCTAGGCACGGCAGCAGCTTGGGCATACAATCCTCATTGAGAGGAACATTTGTCAATTCCACAGAACAAGTTACACTGAACACAAACTGCTCAGACCACCCAGGAATGCGTCATAGGTGGGTCGGGGGTTGACCCCATTACCCCCCCCACATTAAGGGGAAGTCATCTCACATGGGGCAACCTTTTGGATTTGGCCCTGTACCCCCATCTGGTAACAATACAACAGTTACCTATGAACCAATAACAAAATCATACCTGGTTAAAGAACTAATTCTGAGCACTTTAATTTGACAGTTTACCTTTTCCTTTCAGGAGACCGTGTCTGTGAGGAACTTGAAGGTCTAGCAGGACTTCTAGGATCTTTACAGCTTCGATCACGATTATATCTGAAATTAATATGAATAACTGATAATTTAAAATAAATAAACCATTTTATATAATGGCTTTAACATCAAAATGCAGCTAGAATCAAAATTGTCCCCTACCTCAATGTGCAAACTTTTTTTTTATTGAATGATATTTAATTCATGCAACAAATCAATGTTGAATGTACAGTAATGAAATGAGTCTTTCTGGTGGGTCTTTGGTGGGTTCCTGTTCCTAGCTGCCTGGCTATTCTAATAGAAGACGTGACGGAAAAATGAGGTGGTGTTGCTGCTATCCTGATAAAGGAACGACTAAAGGCAAGAGAAATAATACTCGATAACCCTCGAGATGTCAACATAACTGCACTGGAGATGTGTAGTCAGAATGATAACATGATAATCATTACTGCATACAGTCCGCATGTAGCAAGGCAGAGCTAGATGACAAAACGATGACAAAAAGAGGGCTTTATTATGATCATGACAAATTATTGTAAGAGCAGATAAATTATAATTGTTGATACTTTGCGACCAATTTAAAATCGCTAGACTAGGAAGACCATGAAGCAAGAACGGAGGACTTTTGGACTGGTCGATTTGTAAACCTCATCCCGAAGTCTTTCATATAACACGTAAAACAGTCACAAGAATGAGAGAAAGTGATTACTCCATTGCTGCTTGATTTGGTATTTACAAGGAAAAGAAGAAGATATATTTGACATTCAATACCTTCCTCTAATGGGCAAGATCAACCATGTCCTTTTGGAAATTAAGTATGCAATGGATTATAACTTTGAAGAGATTGGGAGTCAAAGAAATTGTGGAAAAACTTTATTTCAAGAAAGGATTCCATGGAAAACTTTGCACGTTCTTTAATGAATTTGACTGGAAAGATTTTCTGGTATGAAATTAAATAAATGTGATGCATGACAATTTTTTTAAGCTACATGATGAATGTACTGTACAAGGACATTTATACCAGTACACAGATGCAGAACTAGGCTAGAAAGCAGGATTGGTTCAACAAATTGTGAAAGGGCGAGAATGAACAATATGGAAGGAAATGCAGTATAGAACCTGTGACAAACAGAGGTGCCATAAGCACAATCAGAGAAATCTGAACATCAGAAGAACACGGTTGTGGTCAAGATCCTCCCATTGAGCACAAGAAATATTGTCGGAACAAAAGTGGAAGTCTTTAAGAGAAAACTGGATAGTTTTCTTGGAGAAGTGCTGGACCAACCGAGTTGTGGCAATGTGGGCCTGCGGGCTGCTCCAAGCAACAGCCTACTGGACCAAGCCTGACCCTGGGTCGAGCTTGGGGAATACAAGAATTTCCAGAATCCCATCAGGTACAATCCATGTACTAGTGAAGTACCTTACCTTGCGGTTACCTTGCGATGATTCTGGGGCTCAACGTCCACGATCAGACCTCCTGGTTGCTAGACTGGTCAACCAGGCTGTTGGATGCAGCTGCTTGCAAGCTGATATATGAATCACAGCCTGGTTGATCAGGAATTTATTTCCCGTCTTTCAAGAAAAGTGCCTTCCCATCTCAAAGGCAGGAAATGCCGAGCAGAAATTGATCTTAAACTGGAAATTTAATATTCCTAGCTAAAAATAAAATATAAATACATTACTCTTTAAATAAATACTCTTTACCTATCACGAGAGTCCTTTATTGGTCTGTGCTGTGGCGAGTACTGCCGAGGCTCCCCTCTTCTCGATGTAAAATCTGGAGGACTCCTGGAATATTTCCTACGAGAATGGCTTCTCTCTCGCCACCCATCACCAGAATATTTGTCAGGGTGGACATGATCTTTAAACCTTGACTCCATACTTCCTCGGTCTCCTTCAAATCTGCAAATTGTGACAATGTTTATTGACAAAATCTGATGCAAACTAACAAATGTCCAGGTCATATCATTGTATAAGCATACGAGGTAACCTTCTTATGAATGTCCAACATACAGACACCAGCTAATATGATTCAACCAAGTCCCCATTTTTGCATCTCGACTATATGAACTAGCTTTACCATCCCCACAATATGAAGAGTGCTTACCTTAGTCTTGTCAGGTAATTTTCAAATTAAAAATGTGGTACATTTGCAAAAAAAAAATATATATAATGGCAGAAGAGAAAGCATCATGAAATACAAGTGGAAATATTGAGAGAGGAATACTATATTAATGAATAAGTCAACATTTAGCTCATTACCTATCATGACAATCCTTTGATGATCTGCGAGGTGGAGAGCATCTCCTGGACTCCCTTCTTCTGGGAGAATAATCTGAGGGACTCCTTGAGGGTTTCCCATGACTGCTACTCCTTTCTCTCCACCCATCATCAGGATAACCACGATCATCTTTATACCTAGGATCTAAGCTTCCTCTGTCCCTTTCATATCTGTGTGTCATGCAATTATGATTAGACTCCCATAAATAGCCATATGTATATACAGGAAATATAAACATTGTTTTTAATATCATCTGTTAGTGTACCAATCCCATCATTTACCTGTCAAGGATTCTGAGGAACTTTTAACACTTTGCAATAGCACTTGCCACCGATGGTACAATGTGATTTTCTCCTGTAGTCAATGGTGTTAGCCATCAAACACCCAGATAGGCAGCCGAGAGATTTACAGTCCATTTTATTTAACATTCATAAAGTAAAATCAGTGGTCTCAAGTCAGTGTTCTCATTTCATTTTAGTTAATATTCACTGCCAAGGTATTAATAAAGTATTGCCAGTGATGGTACTACAGTATTTTATGAATTTAATTAAAAGTACTGTAACTGAAAATCCTTGTCATTTTCATTCATTAACCCAGTGTGTCAGTACCTCAGTTTTATAGTAAAGAATTTATTATTCATCAAATCAAGTACAGTACTGAAGAATCACTTCCCCACTCCCATGTTATACTTAGTACTCTTGTAATCTTGTGCCCCAGACTACCCTATGCTTCTACTGAGGGCCCAGATTCTAGTCCTAATCTTGAGTATGTGCTCATGATTTGTTAAGAGACTGGGATGGTAACCAAGGTTTGCGATATTGCAGACGAGTAGCTTAAGGGAACCCCTGAAGAGAGCCTTCCCAGAATCATGCAATGTACTATTAGTGGCACAAACCGTTGCAAACATGTTAAGTATTTTTAAATGAATGATATCAATAAATAAGAGATGAAATGCAGAGCAGACTTTACTTACAATCTTGATGAAGAATGGCACGATCGCTCCTGACCCCGAGAAGGTGGGTTACGTTCTCTCCCATGACCACTGTCCCTGTAGTTACTTATTGTTGATGTCAAACCTCTATCTAAGCCAGATCTAGAAGAATGCTCTTCGGCGAGTGATCTATGAGTTATGGCTCTATCATCATCCCAACTTGAGCCTGGCCATGATTGCTGATGTATATCTGAGCCAACACCTCTTGTGGGTCCTGGGGGTGGTACACCAGGCTGAGGTAGCTGGGTTGTTGACAGTGATGGACCCCAATTATAACATGAGGTGCCACTGTAGTTTAGACCAGGTGGTGGACACGAGGGTGGTCCAGGAGAAGGTCCAGGTGGTGGAAATGGAAGAACAGGTGGTGGTCCTATAGGTCCACTGGATGCAATAGGGGGTGGCCCATTTGGTCCTATGAATGGTCTTGGTGGAACTGTAAAATGAGAATTAGGAGGTGGACACTGAGGAGGACCATGCTGAGGAGGACCATGCTGAGGAGGAGGATACTGGTTATGGGGCAGATTTGCTGGATGAAAATTGAAGGGGTCTGGAAGTGGAGCTTCTGGTAATACTTGTGAAGGGACAATTGACTGGGTAGGGCCTTGTGTGCAAGTCCAACTCTGATGTGGAGCATTCATAACAGGTGGTGGTGCCTGGTTAAAATGATATGGTGGGCATCCAGATGATGCTGACATTTCCCACTGTGGAGATGGACAATTTCCAGGTCCTGAATATGGCCATTGTGGACCATTAAGACCCCCAGGTCCTGACCAAGATGATCCAGAACTCATGATGTCATCTAAAAGAAAACATACACAAATACATTATTATAGTGTCAGAATGTAATAGGGAATATCACAGAAATCGTTAAGATTATATAATGTACTGATTGGTAACAAATTATAATGCCGAATGCAAAACAGCAAGTATAAATAAGCAATTCCCTCAATTCTTAGAGAGTGCCCGAAACGCTTTGCGTAACAGTGGCTTTAGGCATTTGTATGTACTAGCTCTATCTATAAATTCATCAATATTTGTATCACCCCTTGTATGTATGTACTTTACCTAAATAAACATTTTATTTTTTATTTTTTTTATTTTTGAGTTAAAATTTAATGCAGTGGAACCTTGCTCAAATGTATCTCAGAGGACAGGAACAGACTACGTTCCTGTCCTCAGAGGACAGGAACACTGTGGGCCTGAAAGAATTTGCCAACAGAAAAAATTGTCAGAGCAAATTTAAATGGTGTCCTTTTAATCAAACTGTCTTGGTAGCCCAACCCAGCTAAAGGCAAAATACTGCTCCTAAATTTCATATTGTTTCAAAGTTTTTACTCTTCTCTTGCCTTTAGTAGTTAATGCTAATAAAAAACAAAGCTGAATGTAATGAAATGCCCCTTTCTGGTAGAGCCCTGATGGCTCCCTGAAGTTATTTTGCTAAGATTGATGTGATCCAATAACTTGGAGCAGTCACAGAAGTTCTGTTTGACCTACCGGGGACTAAAGGCAGGAACCTTTACCCTCCAGAGGTGTAAAGAGCAAATGACAATCCACCACCTTACCAGGAAAGCATCCAGAATGTCAGCAAGGCATTACAGACAACTGCAAGGTTCACAGAAAATAAAACCTCAAAATAACACTGCAAATGATTCAAATGAAACCAATCGGTTTATTAAAAACCTAGCTCAAACGAGGACCAAACCACACACCAAAAGATGGAGACGTTTCGGTCCGTGAATGGTGCCAAATGCAAATCTATGCAAAAGAAGCACCAGTGGCTCTGCCAATGCCGAACAATAAGAGGCAACAGAATTAGGCACTTTATGCTGGTCGAGAAAGAACCATGACAAAAGGCCAGTATCAGACTGACACTGAAGAAAGAAGACAAAGACGCAAGACAAATTCAAGACAACCAAGCAAATTCACACTGCCACCCCAAATAAAGACACAGATGGGGCATCAATAATCCAGTCACCTGCTTTCCATACAAATGGCGATAAACCCTGCACCAAAAACTTCAGACACCAGAGCAGAGGTAAAGGTCGAACCAGTGAGATACTGTACATTACTAGGCCGATCTGTTGCTTGAGGTGGAGGTGCAGAAAAATGCCCAGAATTAAACACTGGGCTAGAAGAGCTGGAAACCAAAGTTGAGCTGCCCACGAAAGCCCTTCCATTGCACAGCTGTTCAATGTTGACCTTCCTGTGGTGCACATTTTTTTTTTTTTAATTATTAATTAGCATCCAGGAAGCACAAAAATTAAAGAAAGAAGTGTCTACTTGTGGTTTAGCCATAGTGGCCCGGAGAAGTTCCATTTGTTGGTAGAAATGAGGCGAGGTGCATCACGGGAATAACTTTTCAATTTATTACCATTGTTTCCCCACTTTATTAATTTAGTTATTTTCATAACAGATTGCTTTGATGAGTCATGTGAAATTTATTACAAATAACTTTGACAATATAAATATGCATGGATATATATATATATACAGTATATATATATACCTGTAATAATAATGTAGTTTATGTAAGCCTAAATCTTAAAATTGAACATAGCACACATTTTGCTTCAAATATATACTGTACATGGTAATCACTCATTTGCTCATGCCAAAAGTTCAGTGGCTCCTAGTATGGCTGCCCCACATATTCAGACACTGGATGGTGACATTACCAGATATAGTCTTCATTTTTTTTTTATTTTACTAAGGCCCCCTAGAAGGAATGAGAAAGGCTCAGGATTTTTTTTTTAACATGAGTGCGGGTTACTGGAGGCCTGAGGAAGCAAATGTGAGCCCTGTGTATGTGCAGGACTTAAATCTTATGCAAAACTAAAATATATATATACAGTAAATGTGCAGTGCAGTCGGTTAGGCCAAAATCATATACAATGGGGCGATGCTAATCCGTTCCCAGAGTTAGTTTAGTTCATTTATTATGCACCCCATACCCATCTTGTGGGCAGTAGTGGAAAGGGTTACAGAGGCACATAATGGGCTCAGGGACTGAACCCCACAATTCATTTAGCTAAGCAAGTTATAATCTTGATGAGCTAGTTACAAAATTCAATATAAGTCGTCACATCAACAATGGGTTCGAGATCGACCTCAAGTACAGGTTCTAGATTAAGCAACTGACATATGTGGAGAGCTAGTGTCAAAATTTATATGTTTGTCCTGCACACCGCCCCCCATCCAGTGGGCAGCAGTGGATAGGTTACAATCACTCAGTTACTACCTACAGTTAGCAAACTGGGGATATTTGGCTAAAATTTCTGGTAGCAGATCATTTTGAATGAAATATTTACACATCGCTGGAACATTGGTTATAGAATTGTCTCTAAATTCACGTATCTTTTCGCACTCCATCACAGTGACGGAGGGTGTGCGAATAATTTTGTTGACAGTTTACATTTAGTCAGGTCTACATCAGCAGATAATGAGAATTCCCAGAGATACTTGTAACCGAGTCTAAGCCGAGCAGTAGTAACATCTAGAAGTCTGCTGATTTTATTGGATGATCCATAGATGTGTGGCTCCTCTTGCATGATAGTACTGCCTAGCCAGTTCAACAACCCGCACACCATCTTCATACAGTATTTACGAATGATCTCTTATTTCTGCTCTATGGTCATTCTTACTTGGGATCTCATATGTTGAGCCTTACCACTGACTTTCCTGGGACTCATGGTGTGATATATAATAATTACTTTAATGTTCAAAATGCAAAAAAATCACCACAAATGCGGAATTTCTTATAGGCGCGATCGTCACTAAGCGGGCAGCTGTAGTAAACCGAGGCAGGTCGAACAGCGTGACCGGGAACCACGCGCTCGGTCGACCCGAACGTGTATCAACAAATATCGGAAGTCGACGACACCATCTGATGTCGAGTTGCATTTTTCAATGAAATTTACATCGTAACTCGAAATTATCATAAGTAGGGGCAATCGTAAGTCGAGGTGCCACTTTATTGTAGATGTGATATGTGCAGTTCAAGGGCTAAGGAGCCAGAAGGGTCACCCTCCCCGAGTATTACTCCAGACTGGACAGTACCTGGAGTAAGAACTGAACCGGGGGAAAAGGTAACCGCACCTCTACCAGTCCAGTCATTGGCCGAGTTCCGAATTGTGAAGGCAAGCAGGCTTTCTGCCCGACAATGGGCAACCATTAGAACATAAGAACATAAGAACAAAGGTAACTGCAGAAGGCCTATTGGCCCATACGAGGCAGTTCCTATCTATAACCACCCAATCCCACTCATATACATGTCCAACCCGCGCTTGAAACAATCGATGGACCCCACCTCCACCACGTTACGCGGTAATTGGTTCCACAAATCAACAATCCTGTTACCGAACCAGTATTTACCCAAGTCTTTCCTAAATCTAAACTTATCCAATTTATTCCCATTGTTTCGTGTTCTGTCTTGAGTTGATACTTTTAATACCCTATTAATATCCCCTTTGTTATGTCCATTCAACCACTTGTAAACTTCTATCATGTCACCCCTAACTCTTCATCTTTCCAGTGAATGCAATTTAAGCTTTATTAATCTTCATATGAAAGACTTCTAATTTGGGGAATTAACTTTGTCATCCTACGCTGGACACGTTCAAGTAAATTTATATCCATTCTATAGTACGGTAACCAAAACATAAGAACATTAGAAAACAACCAAACCCTCTGTGCCTCCCTCGCACCCTACAGACCCGCTCCTGTGCCACGTAAGTCCACTATGGGCTTACTATAGCCCCTGCTACTTGCCCCACTCCTGTGCCAGGCAAGTCCACTATGGACTCGCCATAGCCCATGCTATTTGCAACTTTTTGTTTCCAGTAGCTGAATCTAAAAACAACAACCACCTCGCTCCCATCACAATCGACTGGATAATGGTCCGGGACAGACCAAAACGTCGTCGTCTCATCTTCTGGTGTGTGGTTTAATCATCTTATCCAAGCCAAACCAATCCGTCCCACGACAATCTAGCCTAGCCTAAGCTAATCCACACCACCCTATTCTAACCGAGTCTAACACACTAACCTAATACATCCTAATCTAACAATATACACACTACAGTAAATGGAGTTATAAAGTTTCCCGTCGGGAAACCAATCGTCGTGTCTCTAAGTAAGCACTTTTCCTCGTAAGGATAACTGTAATGAAGGCCGTAATTAGACGCTGTATGTCACCGAGCCTGGAAATGAGGCCACATTTAATGAATAACAATCATCTACATTTCTTCTCGAGAACAACATACCTGTAAGGAGGAGGGCGAGAGGCAGAGTAGCACCCACACACACACATACACCTTGTGTTGTTGTTAGTTGAAGGGCGACGGTCACCTAGACGCATGTATCCTGGCCATCCGGATTCCCACTATGAGGGAACAATATTGTTTTACGAACCCGACTGCGACTCAAGTCCATTCCATCCAGCGGTCGACCCCACAGACGCATTCATAAATGTTTACATGCTGTTCATTCAAAACGGGAATTTTCTAAAATGTAAATTAATATTATAATATATTAGCATATTGTGCATATATAGGCATAGGTTAGGTTAGGTGTTTAGGTTCTGTTGGCGATTATTTGTATTTGTAGTACGTGGGTGAAGCATTTATAGCTTGAGGTTCGAACACAAGTCGTCAGTGAAGTACTTGTTCTGGAAGTGTTCGAAAGTCAACAGTTGTGAGTCGTGTGTAAACCGTTTTTCATTCATAATCCAGCCCGTTCTATAAACAAAGACCCAAAAGTGATTCCATCCACCCGCCAACCCCAGCTGTTTATGAATGAAAAACGGTTTACACGCGACTCACAACTGATGACCTTCGAACACTTCCAGAACAAATTTATTTATTTATTTATATACAAGAAGGTACATTGGGTTAGAGAGAATACATAGCATAGTATTTACAATCTTGTAAAGCCACTAGTACACGCAGCGTTTCGGGCAGAGGTCCTTAATCTAACAGATAATTTTAAGTAGGTAAATTCTAGCAGAATTAATAAAATGATAACAAATACATTGCAAGAAAAAAATGAGATGAGAGAGAATAGTAAGTATATTAAAGCACATTGGTATATTAAAGCTCTGGTTGATTACATTGACAACTTGATAGGTAATTTAAACAAGATTAACAGACACCATACAGCAGATTGATAGCACATATAAGAAGACTGTAATGATCACATTGGTAGAGATGTTCGGATTAGGTACATAAAGATAGGGAGATTGGGTAGCAATAGATACAGTGCAATTTTAAAGCAACAAGGTAAAAAAACTATGCAGATGAGATTAGGTACTTTTTAGTTTTGTTTTTGAATAGACGCAAAAGTTGGACAGCTTTTCAATTCATTAGGGAGTGAGTTCCATAGACTGGGTCCCTTTATTTGCATAGAGTGTTTACACAGATTAAGATTGACTCTGGGGATATCAAAGAGATATTTATTTCTGGTGTGGTGATAATGGGTCCTATTACATCTGTCCAGGGAGAGTTTCAGAGCAGGATTTGCGTTTAAGAACAGGGTTTTGTAAATGTAATTGACACACGAAAATTTGTGGAGTGAGATTATGTTTAACATGTTAAGGGAGTTAAACAAGGGGGCTGAGTGTTGTCTGAAAGCAGAATTTGTTATTATTCTGATAGCAGATTTTTGCTGGGTGATGATGGACTGGAGGTGGTTTGCAGTGGTTGAACCCCATGCACAGATACCATAATTAAGATAGAGATAGATTAGTGCATAATATAGAGAGATGAGAGCAGAGTTAGGTACATAATTTCTGATTTTGGAGAGTATCCCAACTGTTTTAGAGACTTTCTTAGTTATGTATTGTATGTGGGTACTGAAGTTGAGTCTCTTGTCTAGGAATAGGCCAAGAAACTTTCCATCATTTTTATTGCTAATGTTTACATTATCTATCTGAAGCTGAATTGCATTTGTAGATTTGCTTCCAAATAAGATGTAGTAGGTTTTTTCTATGTTAAGTGTTAGTTTATTGGTTGACATCCATAAGTGGACTTTTTTTAGTTCATTATTAGCAACATCATTTAGTGTATGTGGGTTGGGGTTAGAGTAGATAAGGGTAGTATCATCAGCAAACAAAATAGGTTTCAGAATGTTAGAGACATTAGGCAGATCATTGATGTATATAAGAAATAGGAGAGGTCCCAAGATGCTGCCTTGTGGCACTCCAACGGTTATTGGTAGAGTGGGAGAGGTTATATTATTGATGGCTACACATTGGTGTCTATCACTAAGATAGGATTGGATATAATCCAGTGCATGGCCTCGGATTTCATAATGATGGAGTTTACGTAAGAGGTAATTGTGATTAACAGTGTCAAAGCCCTTTTTCAGGTCAATGAAGAGTCCAATCGAAAACTCATTTTTGTCAAGGGCTTCACTGCAAATGCTTCACTGACGAATTTTGTTCGAACCACAACGCTATAAATGCTTCACCTACTTGCTACAAATACAAATAAACGCCAACAGAACCTAAACACCTAACCTAACCAATGCCTATATATGCACAATATGCTAATATATTATAATATTAATTTATATTTGAGAAAATTCCCGTTTTGAATGAACAGCATGTTAAAACTTATTAATATATCTGTGGGGTCGACCGCTGGATGGAATGGACTCGAGTCGAGGACGGTTTGCACAAGCAGGGTAAACGAAGCTCCGAAGGAACGTCCCACTGTACCTTTTTGTATTTATTTGAATAAATAAATAATAAATAAAGATCGTCCAGCAGGTGCAAGGGATAAGCAGTGGAGAGCCAACGAGCCCCTTGACCAACATTTGGGAGAAAGGAATGGCGACGATTAAGGCTAGCCATGTGGCAGTAGGAAACGGGACCCAAAAAAGTGTACCCTCGTGGTGATGAGGTGCAGAGAAGCACTGTGAATTCTGAGGTTGGTACACAGATATTAAACCACTGCACCAGTCTCCGTGGTGCAGTGGTAAGACACTCGCCTGGCGTTCCGCGAGCGCTTTGTCATGGGTTCGTATCCTGGCCGGGGAGGATTTACTGGGCGCAAATCCTTAACTGTAGCCTCTGTTTAACTCAACAGTAAAATGAGTACTTGGTTGTAAAAACGATTCTTCGCGGCGGGGATCGTATTCCAGGGACCTGCCCGAAACGCTATGCGTACTAGTGGCTGTACAAGAATGTAACAACTCTTGTATATATCTAAAAAAAAAAAAAAATATTGGAATAAAAGTTGGATAACAGGATTGCAGCTCTGGAAAAGTTAGCTATGATAAATAGGTAGGGCGGAAAGTAAGGAGAAAAGCAATAAATTCTGGATAAAAGCATAGTTTTTATCCTATGAGGCATATATGAACTGACAGCCCGTCCTCCAAACAAAGACCCTACGTCCATTCCATGCACCCGCCAAACCCCCTGTTTATGAATGAAAAACGGTTTACTCACGACTCACAACTGATGACGTCGTGCTTCACTGAAGACTTTTGTTCGAACTACAACGCTGTAAATGCTTCATCCACTATAAATACAACAGCCCGTCCTCCAAACAAAGGCTGTTTATGAATGAAAAGCGGTTTACACACGGCTCACAACTGCTGACATTCGAACATTCCGGAACATATGCTTCACTGACGAATTTTGTTCGAATCACAACGCTATAAATGCTTCACCCACGTACTACAAATACAAATAATCGCCAACAGAACCTAAACACCTAACCTAACCTGTGCCTATATATGCACAATATGCTAATATATTATAATATTAATTTATACTTGAGAAAATTCCCGCTTTGAATGAACAGCATATTAACATTTATGAATGCGTCTGTGGGGTCGACCGCTGGATGTAATGGACTTGAGTCGAGGACGGGTTGAAATACAAATAATCGCCAACAAAACCTAAACACCTAACCTAACTTAACCAGTGCGTAAATATGGACAATATGCTAATATATAATAATATTAATTTATATTTGAGAACAGTTCAGTTTTGAATTAACAGAATGTTAACATTTGAGGTCGACCGTTGGATAGAACTGAAATGTTGATATCAACTGAAGCAAGTGGCCAATGATCAGTTATCGTGGACAACTGCAGTTTGCTTCTCGAGTTTGTTCATTAATTATAAATGGCATGAGTGTATTTATACATTTCTAAATATCCCATGTACCCTACAAATGCCAATCAAAAAAAGGCTTTAAGTTTAAACAAAAGTCGTACATAAATTCCCACGTATGACAATTATGCTACGAGCGTTGTGATTGGCCAGAAGTGACCCAGGACCCTGTGGGGAGGCTCCATGATGGTGTGACTGGCTGACCTCACCCTCATTCTCGCTCACAATTTCCTAGGAAGCAGTACAAACAGGACGATGAGGGCCTCTGGCGCTCCTTGGTCTACTGCGGAGGTGGTCGTACTCTTCATCAATATGCTGTGCTCCCGTGTTGCTTTATTGATATTGCTGGCTTCCTTAGCCTGTGGCTTGGAGCTGTTTGCCAGTTTCAAGGACGCTGGTTTTGGCAAGGTTAGCAGTGGGTCGGTGTCGACCCCTAACCTACACTCCGAAGTTATGGAAGAAGACTCTTTCCACCGGGCTGAAGTCATCGTCGTCAACCCTATGGCTGCACCTGTCAACGCCACCGCTTGGCCCTTCAACCTCGTCAATCCCTCATTCTAGATGTAGGAAATTGTGTGATTTTATCCTATGGCATTTGAGAGCTTTGAATGTTAATTCATAAAGAACGGTTCATTTTTTAAGAACTTTATACTCTAGATCGGAAAAAAAACATTGACTCTTGGTGTGGTTTTTAACACTAGAAATGGTTTCTACGACATTCTAAGATTGTACAGAAGACTATGTGCATTAAAGTATGGAATTAAGTTTATTCTTAAATTTACCCTTCACTCACGACCGACTTTAATAATGTCTGTGTTAATGACGCAAATGTTTAGTTGGAAGACAACAACTTGGCCAGACCAATATTATTTAACATTGGTAATGCACGTAATTATGGCAGAGTACTGACTTGTTACTAGTTGTTGCATAATGCAACACCATCTCGACGAATCATATATCTTTAAATTCGCACTTTTAGCGCAATAATTGGCATAGGAAATGAACTTTTGGCTAAATATCCTTTACACTGGATGCCTTGTTAGGATTTGAAACTTGGTATATATGGAAATTATTTGTATCCTGGGGAATGATCCCCGATTTTAACAGCCCTTAAGCCTAGTGATTCTTCACTCATGACAATGGGAGACTTTGTGCTACAGTTGTAAATAAAATTAACTTCGAATAGACAAAAGTAAAAATTTGGTTGTATCTACTGTGGTCTGTTTTCCAGCGCAGAGTCGGTTGCAGCTAGTACTGCATGTGCTGGTCGGGGGAACTA